AGCATGAGCCAGACATGCTGTAAGTGGGACTACTTTCTGCAGAATGAATTCTACGTAAAGGGGCCAAACATTTATCTCCCCTCATCCATAAATAGGATATAAATATCCAGCAATTTCAAGCGAGCCAACCTCCAACCACATGTCCGCAGATATGTCCGAAGAAGAAGAAGGTCAGTTAAGTGGGGGCCTCAGTTGCTTGCGTCAGTCAGAGTTTTGATTCCAACGGGGCGTTGTGCAGAGAATGTTCTAATCACCTTCCATTCTGGAAGCCGTTAGAAAGGGGATTTTTTTTGCAAAAAAGAAAAGCAAAAAGGAAAAAAGGAAAAAAAGAAAAGAAACTTTCCAGCGAAAACCAGGCGCTACGAAACAACCTTTTCAAAACGCGCCCCCCTTCAGCGTCTAAGTTCAGCAACTAAGTTAGGCTTCGCGGCGGGATTTTTTTTTCCGTCTTCCCCTGGACGATGCTGTTGATATTCTTGCTCAGTGCATCTTACCAAGGCGCCTGATGTCGCGGGAATTGGGAGTGGCGCGGAGAGGGTCCCTATACACCTTCACCTCTGCCCATCATGCCCAACTATCCCCCATGGTACGTGGCAAAGTTGCTAGTTTATGGCAAGTTTTCCGAAAAGCTCCGCTCACCCTTCAAACTTGTTATGCGATACCTCCCGGAGAACTCAGCCGGGGAGACCTTGTGTGGAAAAAAGAAGCCCTTGATCTAGCGGAGATTGCTAACTCATTTAAACAGGGACATTAAATGAGAAAGTAAAAGAGTAGTTCAAAAAAAGTCAGAAAAACAAATAAAAACTTTAATGCTCGGCCTCCTTTTCTTGTTCCTCCCCTTCCTCAATAATATGTCTGCTTTGAAAACCACAATGACCCCTCTGAATATTCATTCTCAGGAGAATGAAAACGGCGGAACGAAACAGATGCCTGAAAATCTTTTGGTCAGGGATTGAGATTTTTCATACCCGGCGAATTTCAAGCTCACCATTTTCAGAAAAAGCCTTGACCAATACGCCGTCATGTTTATTTGAAAATTTAGCCAGGAATTGAGAAGCACCATGAAAATCAGATAAACAGGATGTATGAAAACTCCTGTGCCTCACGAGCAAGGTTCTAAAGCATCTGGGTGAGGGTAAGGAGACTGACTATGCACAACGGTTTAAATATGATATTCTATACTCAGCTGTGATTTCTAGTTTTGACTAGGGAACATACGGCTCTAAATCAGCTACTCCGTATAGAGAGAAGATTTGATACTTTTCAGCTCACAGGTATTTTGATATCTGAACCACACCATCTTATATACTTGCATTAACGAAATTCCCGTTCTAATTTCCAGCGAAGGGGAAGGACAAACTGAAAGCCAAAGGGATTGAATTCGTACAGCACTGATGATCGATCAATCCCATCACAGAACCGACCCGTCGGTGTATCCTACCTACCTACCCATTAGGAGATCATACCCGGATGCTCTGAAAGAAGAACAGAATCACTCAACCCACACAGGGAGATCCCACACAAATGTTTAGAATAGCAACCCACCCTTCATGCAGATGGTTGGGAAACCCCAACCACAGTCTTCCAACCACCTGGAGGAGAGCTGCCAGATTCGAGCCACCAAGCTCGCCCCGGACCAAAAGGGAGGGGGGCTGGCGCAGAAGATTGGCCGACCAGGTCATGTCGCAATACAATACACACACACTCCTTGAGCACGAGAGATGCCCTTAGCCAATTGCATGATATGCCATGTTATGGATCTCTGATGAATGACGCGCAAAAAACAGGCTGGATGTTATCTCCCATCCCAAGGGATTAAGGAGTTTTATTGGAGAAATATGATTCCGTCCTCTGGAGAGCCCTAAGAAAAATATATATATATATATACGTATATATATATATCGCTTTGTGCTCTTGATATCTGTGGCTTTGCCCAATATCCACTCGGCACAACTTCATGGGAATAGACATCGAGACAACCCATCACACCCCGCACTTCCACAGCTCTCACCAGCTAGATTTGGCCATAATTGTGTGATACATGGCTATTTTGAGCAAAGATGTAAGAACTCCAGTTTGATGATTGGAACGCCAGAATGGCCCATATTAATCTTCCAGCGAAATGTTGTTGAGGGGGTGAGGGGAAAGGAGATGTTTGTCAAACCAAAAGCCGTTGCGCAGAGGACACTCACACTTTCCTCTCTTCAAGATGGGAGTCCCATCTCCGCATAGATTTTATACGAATCCATCCCATTCCATATATTGAAGATGGAAAGGCATGAATGATAGCTTAGAAACTGGCGGGGAAGCCGGAAAAGCCGACACAAAGCTCAGGGATAAAAATAAGCAGTGGGGGTGAATGTTACCCCATGCTCAACATCTGACTCTGTCAGATCTCTTAATGCAATCCGCGCTCATAGGAAATCTTTGAAATAGAAACTTTCTATCCAAAAGTTCGCAAGACGCTGTCAACCGAGTTCGACAATTTTACAACGAAGAATGCATAGTGGCCCAAGGCGAATCAGATCACCTGAATGAGACGTGTGAAGCGCCAAAGGGCGCTGAAGATTCTCAGAGAAACCAACATTATCTGAAACCTAAGACAGCAGGGCCGGCCGTCTACATAACACTATCGCGATGAGATCGACAGACAGATAGACAGACAGATATATTGGGCTCTTAAATGCTGAAAGAGGAAATGTTACCGATTATCTCCTCCCTATCTCCTTATGTACGTGTCAATGTGCGAAAACAGCGCACCATCACTCTCAGCTAAATCATCCCATCTGGGCACGATCTATAAAAAACAACTTACCATAGAGCAACCATCACATAGAAGGCCCGCATCTCATATCAACCCCGCCCCGCCAACAACTCTAGCCTCAAACCTCTCAAGTTGAAAAATTTGCGCGCGATGATCGGCCCCTCAATTTCCACCCCGTCAGTCCCGTGAGAGCAACATACAAGGAATCCTGCTGCGGCTAAGAGGCGGATATCCAATTGTGGTGTCAGCGCGTAGGGAGTTGACAGTATCCGCGCATCGCATGCATTTGCTGGAATGACATGCAGATGCAACGCTGCTGAATAGCTACAGCGTGGTTATGAGTTGTTGAGTTTTGAATGGGATGCGGTGTTGAATATGTAAGAGAGTCCGGAAATGGAAAAAGGGGTAGGTAGGTAGGTAGCCATTATCTGTTTCCAGGGCGTTTTCTGGTTTGTTCACTGGCATATGTATGTGTGTATGTATATAGTTAGCTAAACCGCGGGCGTGGGGCGAAGGAACAGCGTCTCTTTTCGTAGAATACAAAGCACATGCTAGCGTATAGTTAGTTAAGAACATCCATTTTCAATTCATGTCCCGTTATTTCTGCCAGCATCATCCCCTAGAGGTTGTTAGCAAGCATACCTCCGAAGAAACAAACCAAGATATGGAACGATAGCCCATCGAAAGAAAAGCTACCATCGTCGTACAAACATAACCAGCCACCTTCAAACCCTCGATTTTGGACCTGAAAAGGCCATGTGCGACCTAGCTACTAACCATATCATAATATATTTACTTCACCGGGCAGACAAACACCACCACGGGGGAGGAAGGGAGAAAGAGAGGAAGGGGGGAGGCACGATATCGATCAGCATTGTCATCAACGCCAGACACGCACGCGTCAATTCTGTGATTTCCTGCTAGCAAGACGAAAGACCATGAACGCACCCGACTCTTTTGAACCCCTACGTTTCCCAGACGGGTGGGACTGAGGTATCACATCAGCTCTCGGGCAAAGAGTAGGTAGGTATAGCGGTCGTATGAGAGCTTCCACGAACCCAAGGGGCAAAAAAAATCTCCCGCCCCATCGCCATCAGTGACGGCCATCCAAACCCCGACCTCGATCTCAAGATGTCATTGTTAACAACAAAAACGCCTAGAATCTGTCTGTCTCTTCCCTGACAGAGGTCCTCTTGAAAACCGCATCAGCTGAACTGGCCATGACCAACCTGCACAGCAGCAGAAGATAGGCATTGAATTTGTTTTTGTAGTAAATTGCGGAGCCCTGGTCCATATATCCCAGACATATATAATCAGGAATCTGATCTTTTTTAAGATTGATGAACCACTAATAAAATCTTCTTTTATTCGTTTCTCTTCTAATTTCTTTTGCTGTAGGTATCAAAAAGTCCTCAAATCACTGGGATATAATATCCGCCATTTATTTAAAAGGAGAAGCAAGAACGAAACTGGCAAAAATATGAGAAGTTGAGATCACTGATAGAATACAGCATGACCTGGCTTTATGTGATGGTGTTGAATCACCATGGGCCAAACAACATCAAAGCAGAGAAAGAATTTTGTGGGGCCTTTTGACTCCATAGGGATCGGGATTGCCCCGATATGCTAGACATATATATATAGATATAGATATATGTATATTTATATACGCATACGTTATATTGAAGTGTGCGTATAACCATCAACAGACGTTATGCGGCAGCTCTATCATGAGGAGCTGCGCGTTTGTGTGAAATTATTAAAGGGAGGACGATGGACCCTCATCAAAAGAGATATCAAATGTCGTGATGTTGTTCATAAACACATCTGTTCAAAAAAAAAAAAAAAAAAAAAAAAAAAACAAAAAAAAAAAAAAAAAAAGAGAGAGAGAGAGAGAGAGAGAGAGAGCTTCGTGCAACATGCTCCCTTCAAAGCTTGGCATAGAAATGCGCCCGGATTTTGTTCTGGCCATCCTGGTTTGGACCCCCTTTACCCCAGAAAATGAAATTCTCTCCCTAGGTAGGTACGGTACGGGTGGGTTGCAGGTGGGACTCTTACTCCGTGGGGTAACTAAAGATTCAGGCATACGCGCCCCCTTGACGGTAGTTAAACCCTTTCCAGCAAAGCTCGGGCCTTGGCAATTTTAATTGCAGCTTTGGGAGGGAGCAAACGAAACAGACAGAGAGTTATCAAACATTTTCTATTTTTATTCTCAATCTTCCATCTTCCTGTCCAGTCGGGAAGTCCATAAATGAAGTGAATAACCATGTTTCCCCCCTTTGCCGTTTGTTGTTAGCCGGGAGTTACGTTTCACAGGGGAACAAAAGAGGCTCCCTGCAGAGCCCCTTATAGATCCCTCTTGTCGAGCAGCCTGTTGGTCATCATGTATGTATTATTGAAATGAACGAACTGCTGCCAGGCCAGATTGTCCCTTTCACGTGTGATATCCAGCCTCGGTTGTTACTCATTCTCGACATTATGCCATACGCTCTTGGCCGTCAACGCCGCTTCGTTGAACTCGCGCAAATAAGGTAACGTCGGTAAAAACATGGCTTGAGGTTGCAAAGAAATTCATTTCTCCCTGAAAGCCAAATTGGGACACGGCAAGGGAGTGAAAAACTTGAGGTCATTCGTGCTCCTTCCCCGCCAACGCGGTGTTGTTTTTCACTCCTCTGACTGAACTGGGCTTCTAGTTAGTTCAAAATATTGATAGAGAGGTGTATCATCGGCTGAAACTCTAATCAGGGAGAAGAAAATACGCTGGTAAGCCATGGGGGTCTGTGAAACACAAGCTTTGGGTGTAACAACTTGCTGCCCATCATTGGTTTCAAGATGATCTCTGGTGGTAACAAAGTTTTGTACCTGCCGATCTTTTGCTAGATTTTGCAAGTTTTGTCGGTCACAAAATAGGTATAAAACGCCCGGATGGGAACCTGGCAGATAATAACCAACGCTGAGAAAATATTTGAATATCCCTTCAAGGCTGACTTGCAAAATGTCATTGAACTTATCGGCGGAATATATGTTTCCCCAAGGTAGAGAGCTATGCAGCGACGGGGTTTTGGAAGCGTACTCCCCGTATTTGGTGTTCTGCCAAGCCCCATCCTTGTTTAGAAACGGCCTGCATTTGGACAGCTTGGGATCTTTTTGGTTGAAGATCCAGGGACAGACTGGCTGGTTCAAAATCTCTCTATTCCCTTCCAACAAATGTCTGTTTGTCTCACAGTGATTTTCCAGATCGTCTATCATCCTCTGCTGGCCAGTTCCTGGGAGCAAGCACACACCATCCTGTGGCACGACATTTTGACTCGAATGGATTAAACCACGCTTCGAGTCAAGCATTGACGGCGCTAAATGGTGGAATCTAAGCCTAAAGTAGAAGAACTATTAAACGCGCCGAAACATCAAGGAGCCAAGTCCGGAGTATGGGGAGCAGGAACCTCAATTCCCAGTTCTAGTAACTACTGTACTCCGTACTCCGTAGTCCCTGCGGTCATTCATGCACAACACCGTTGTTTGTTTTTCTTCCTCCGTTCAAAGATCAAGATTTGCAAGCTGGCTTCTCTCTCCAAGGGTCTGCTCGCCAACAAGACCAGCATGAGGAGGGCGGCCAACAAAAAGGTCAGGTCAAAGGCAGGAAAGGACGTGGCGGTTTGGAATCAGGGCCTGTGCTTAGAAGTGGTCGTCGATCAAGCGAGTTGGTCGCAGAACAAGGTTGCACGCTTGGGAGCAACGTTACATTGCCACTAAGGATAAGAGCTTTCAGATGGCGCATTGGCGCATTAGCGCGTTGGCGGACTTGGTTTGGGGTTGGGGGGTCGAGCTTGGCAGGAAACAGCAAGGCAAGGGAGAGGAATTGGAGAGAGCATTTGCCATGCCATGGGAGATTGATTACGGAGTACATTACGGAGTACATGTAATGTACTCCGTAGTCTGACAAGAATAATGAAGGAGATATTGATATGATATGCGGAAGAAAGAAGAGGGAGTCCAGTCCGCATTGGGAATATATTTACAAAGTAATGTCCGGTGTACTGTACATAAGGAACCTGTTAGGTTACTAGTTAACCTCCTACCTTGGCATTTTACGTGCAGAAAGGGACATGGTCTGTGCGAGACACAGTACCAAAACATATCAAATACGCGCTCGATACAGCCCGCGGTCAGATTAATACGATACGGGTTCTGCGATTACAACGTATCAGACAGTTTCCCAGCTGTCCAGGTATTGTCGGTATTGTAAGGGGGGGTGTGTGGGGTGGTGGGAAGGTAAGAAGAAAGAAGAAAGAAGAAAGAAGAAAGAAGAAAGAAGCTGTGTGTTAGACCTGATCCCATCGAGCAGAGATAGTTATCTCATATCTCGAGGCCCCCGTCAGTACGTTGCGTGTACGTTGTAACTACGCTGCGTACTAACTACTAGTTATCTCGTTAGTGGCTGCCACTCGCTGCCTAGTAGTAGTGGCCAACCTGGGACCCGCCCGGCCGGAGCGTTGCAGAGAAGGAAGTCAGAGCGAGCCCACCACACATCTTCTCTCCCAATCTCCCAATCTCCTCCTAACCTCCCACCCTCCCCCTCCCCGCCAGCGAAGTTGACTGCTGCTGGACCCTGGGATACCTGGATAGGTGACCAGGAACGTTACAACGAGGCGATCCCACACACCCGTGAATCCCCCCCCCCCTTGTATAATTGCCGATTCCCGTGGCGGTGGGCTCGAATGTTTCGGAGGCCCGCTATCAGCTTGTCTCCGACATCCTGGGTTGCTTGGTCCCGGCTGTCTTCCCAATCCCCAGTACCATAGTATGCACGCAATCAACAGGTACATCCACCACGCTGTCGCCAGTAGTAGGGAGTGTGTCCTTTCAGCCTGAATTCAACCCTGGACGAGGGTTCAGAATAGAGAGTCACCACGGATTCCACCCTGGATGTCACCTTCTTTTAGCCTCGCTCCACCCCGCCGCATGACGCTGTTGCGGTGGGAAGCCAAAGCTCCCGCTACCAACGCGAGCATCAACCCGCAGGCAGCTTGCTTGCTGTCACCTGTGTGACTCCAACGCGACAAGCTTCCTACTTCAGAACTTGTTGCAAATCGACAATAGTTAACGATCACTCGAAATCTCCCCCCAAATCAAACTGCTCGCTAGCACCGCTAATCCTCTGCCAACACAGCTGTCACATGGAGCTGTTCCTGGGACCGAGTGATCCCGGAGCCCTTTCGTTGATACAGTAGCTATCCCTCCTGTCCAGCCTGTGCCTCTCTCGCCGAACCCCCAGGCAGGAAATTCGGCAGGTCTGTCTTTTCCCTGTCCAGAGAAACCTGTTGCGGTACGTCCGGTGCCTCCGCAGTAGTGTGCGCGCATCGTTTCACCCCCAGGTACCACCGTCAGAAAGCCACCTTCCCCAGCCTAATAGATCGGGGTTGCTCGTGTCCCTCCTCCACGCGCTTTTCTCCGGGTTTGCCAGACTGGGTACTCTCTCCTCTCTCTCCCCTTTTTTTTGTTTTCTGGGGGAAATTTTCTATTTTTGTCGATTTGATTTGATTTGATTTTTTGATTTTTACTTTCTTCAGCTATCGTTTTTACCTTTGCCTATTTTATGCGATCTGAGACTTAGAGGTGACTCAATTCAGTAACTCTCCCGCCTCCTGATCCCCTTCAGGGTGGATAGTCGCATCCCAGTGGTGAAGGGATTGCCGGGCCAAAGATCAAATCGTTGGGTTTCCTGCGGGGGGGGGGGAAGGAGTACAACAATAACATAAGATACACAAAGGGAGGCATACAGAAGAGCCCCGTCGAAACAGAAACAAGGCCAGTGCCAGTGCCAAGCAGGAAAGGTAAATTCCGGAAGGAGCGCGCGATACAAAGGGCCAAAATAAACAGCATAAACCAGGCAAAGCGGAGCAAATAGCGCCTGCAACGCTGCCTGTCGACGTTTTATTTTTATTGCCCAGAAAATCCGACTTCACTGTCGCACTCGACTGTCGTTGCTGGCTGGTTTAAATTTGTACTTCCCTTTTTATTTTTATTTTCAAAAAAAAAAAAAGTCGCTGCGCATATTTGGCGGGAAAAAATAGAAGGGCTGGCAGGGGGACCTTTACTCTTCTGGAAGGTATCAGGTACCTACCTGGGTTCAACCACTCGAAAGGCCGCTGCAAGGTACTCCCAGATACAACTTTAGAAATCTGCTCTTCCTCAGGCGTTTCTATAGTATATATCTACGAGCCACTCCGCCCCTTCCCGCGGTTCGAGAAACTACTGCTACATCCGGATAGAGTATCGCCTTATTTGTCCCGCCTTTTGTTCCGCTCTCTTTAATAATAATTATATCTCCCCGCCCATCTTCATCCTCCGCGTTACAGTGCTGTTGTTGCTTGAGACATTCTTTAAAAGGCATAACAACCGCGCTTGACGACAGCCACCCGTTTCACGAGTGCCAAAGGTCGTTCATGTTTACGCCCAACAAAAACCAAAAGCTGATCTTGAGGGCAGAAAAATGTGTTCAGGCTTTTGAAACTGGTTATATGAGCTGTACCTGAGCTCTTATCGTGGCCCTTTTGGAAATCCGTTCTCCGGCTTGCATCCAGTATATAAAATAATATACACCCAGTGCCACTTATCGATCATCTATCTCAACCCTCATTCCTTCAACTAAAGGGTGCCATTGGAGGGCATACCAATATACCTCTTTTTCCCACGATGGCAGACGCACTTGCAAAGATGAACCGCCGCATGCGGGCCTTCTTCCACAACATCATGACGCTCTTGAAGCGCATGATGATGATCCCTTCGCGGGCAGGGGATGCATCCGTCGCGAGGCAAGAGTCCTTCAGCAGCTCCAAACGACGCCGCCGGTCGCTCGATGATTTGTCGCAAGAGGTGGATCGCCTTTTCACAGGACACCTGGGCGTTTCGAACCTGCTCTCCATGTCGAAAAAGATCCGAGCTCAGATCGACATAGGTGCGAAGACTAGTCCAGTCTGCATGTTGCCATCGTTCAACCATACGCTACCCACTGGAAAGGAGTCCGGAACGTACATCGCCATGGATCTAGGAGGTTCGACTTTCCGAGTTGCCCTTGTTGAACTTTCAGGAGGTGGGAAAATGAGGATTGTGCGTATGACTTCTTCTGTGATTGATGAGACTGTGAAGAAGCTGGAGGGGAAGGCTTTCTTTGTATGGATGGCGGGAAAGATCGAGGAGATGTTAAGTGCCGGCGAGGAGAAGTATGGTATGGAATCGGAACCCTTGCCAATGGGACTATCGTGGTCGTTCCCGATCGACCAAACCTCGATACGTAGTGGGCGTGTCATTGCAATGGGGAAGGGATTCCTGTGTTCTAACGGCACTGTGGGTGACGACCTGAGCGAGTTGATTATGGAGGCTTGTAGGCAGCGGAATCTTAATGTTCGCATTGACGCGATCATTAATGATAGCTCCTCGACACTCCTCTCGCGGGCATACGAGGACACATCGACCCGAGTCTCTTTGATATTGGGAACTGGTACCAATGCTGCCATCCATTACCCAGTCCATGCCATAGGGCTGGACAAGTTTGGAACTCGGCCAGCTGAATGGTTTGCTCAAGCGGATCATGTCATTGTCAACACCGAGCTCAGCATGTTTGGCGGTGGTGGGGTTTTGCCAACTACGAGATGGGATGATGTCCTCAACCAGACACATATAAAGCCTGATTACCAACCCCTGGAATATATGTGCACAGGGCGATATCTCGGCGAGATCGTGCGTCTCATCGCAGCCGAAGCGGTGAAGACAGCAGGCCTGTTTGGAGGTACTCTTCCAGAATCCCTGCAAGTCCCATACACGTTCGACACCAGCATCGCCGCGTTCATCCAAGCAGACACCTCTCCCTCCTTAGCGTCTTCATCCGCCTACCTCCAAAAACACCATACTTTCGCCACTGCCCCATCTCCAGCGGACCTCTTATTCCTTAAACAAATATGCACCTCCGTCACACGAAGAGCAGCCGCCTATCTCGCCGCAGCCATCCATGCCTTATGGTGTCTACGAAATTCTAGCGAAGCTCCCGCCCTCCCGCCAACGCCAGACTCCGTCACATCCTCCTCTACATCAAACGACAACGGCAGCGGCGATGTCAATTCAGAGATGCCATCCGACCTAAACAAGAAGCGCACCAACAACACCAACACCACCAGCACGACCACTGCCACCGCCACCAGCGACTACAACGTCACGATCGCTTGCGACGGTTCCGTCATCAACAAATACCCGGGTTTCCATGACCAGTGCCAACAATTCCTCAACGACCTGACTCTCGAACGAGATCCTTCACAGCCCTCCCGCCCCATCTCCCCACCAGACTCAGCCACAACATCACCTTCCAAGCAGGCAATCACCACTGTAATAACTTCGTCGCCATCCATCACGCTTGAAAGAGCCAATGAGAGCGCTATCTTTGGTGCTGCGGTTGCGGTTGCTGTTGCTGTTTCAGAACATTAGACTTTTTGCGTTCTTGCGTTTTTGCTATTTTGTTTTCATTTGAGATCATTTTTATTATTAGAGAGTTTCTTCTTTTCGAAAAGAAAACACACCTCCTTTTTTTCACACCCTTTTTTTCACACCCTTTTTTTCTCCCCCTTTAGCCCCTTCATCTAGTCAGGATGGGAACGTACTCTAAAATGATGAATTCAGATCAATACCAAGACCAGGTTGAGGATTGTGTTTTTTACCAACCAACTTCCTCCTTCTCTATGGCCTTGATTTTAATTCTGATTTTTGTAGGCAATCCCCCCTTACTCTACACCTCCCTTACCCCCACGGCCCCCACGGCCCACACCCCCACATTTTCTTGTCGAGAGCGATTCAGATATTTTTTATGTATTGTATATATTTATCTTATATTCTTCTTTTTCTACATCTCAATTCTCAACCCCAGTAGCCTATTATTTTATCACCCCAGTTTGTCCCGGTTTTGCTGAACCTCGCAGCCAATCCCGTCCTCATCATCGTCCCCCACCATTCTATTTTCCGTAGCTATACATACCTTCTTCTCTTCTCCCTTCTTTGTTGCATCATACACTGTTACCTTTCACTTCTACCTCATTATGTTTCACTTCTCACATGTCCAGTTGCATCTGCAAAACAAAAATGTGAGTGTCAGTGTTTAATTCACTGGGTTTTTTTTTTTTTTTTTTTTTTTTTTTTTTCCCTCTTCAGGCGGGACCCCGGACGGGCTGGAATTGCATGAAACATACATATCTCTTTTCTACCTTTTACCTTCTGTGGTTTATGTGTTATTTCAACTCTGGATTTCTGTACCTGTTTCACTTGTGTGTTTTACTTGCTATCAATTGCATTAGTCGGATTTCTAAAGAAAGAAAGAGAGAAAAGAAATAAATACATGAAGTTCTTATTTCTCTGGCTGTGTCGTGCATTTTATTCTCTTTTTCTTTCTTTCTTTCTTTGTTCTCTCTCCTTACTTATTTCTTTTATATTCAATAGGTTTTATTACATACAGGTGTTCTGACTTGTTTTTCCACTTTTACTCTCACTTCACTGATTGCTAATTTAGTAGAAATATAACAAGCTCTGATTCTAACCACATCAATTAAAAACTATTGATTTTTCTTCTGTTGCTATTGCTGCTGCTATTGTCATTATTATTATTGTTATTATTATTATTACAAAGCATCAAACGCTCGCTTACACTCGCTTTGCTGCTTGCGCAGCCTCTGCTACCAGTTCCACCCTCTACCCCTACCCCCCTTACCACTCCTTCCACCCTTACAACCACTTCCACCCCTTCCACCACCACCGCCTCTACCGCCTCCACCACTCTCTTCCACCTCATATCACCTCTATCACCATTATCAGATTATATATTGATTGATGTTAGAGAGTATTAATATTATTATTCTTACACTAATCACTGTTCATGTAATTTAAAACTTTTCTTTAATAGATATTCTTATTTCTTTTAACTGAAACCTGATGAGTATATATATACTTGAGAGTTAACTCATTTATTAAAATTTCTCTGATTGCACTGTTTTTATTCATTTATTTATTCATTCATCCATCTGTTGAATCTTAAAAAATATCTGCAAAAAGACCTAATCAGCTGAAAAGAGATTATACAGACACATGTGTACTCATTCATCAGTTCTCATCTCTCATAGATTGCAAGAGATAAATATCTCTCTCTGTAAAACTCAATTGAATAATTGATAAATTTGACAATAGACGAATCTGAGCAAAGTTTGACGAAGTACTTTGACTTTCTTAAGTCTGAATTGAGCTTTGAATAGAGGGCTTGTTTGAGGCGTGCGCCTGGGTGCATATAGCAAAGTGGGTAGATAGATATATTCATGTCTCATTTCTCTAAGATAGGGGGGGGTACGCCCTCTGATATATACAAGTAAACATGCCCATTGCGATCATAGAAGGAGCGATTGCAAGTTGCAATCATAGAAGTAGCGATCGCGGGGTTACAATAGGAAAGAAGATAATAGGGCCCTAAGTGTGGGCGGAAGAAGGAAGGAATGGGGCAGAGAGGGTGGAGCGGAAGGTTAGGTAGGGGGTGGAAGCCAGGGGCTTCCGCCACATTGTCTATGAGTTGAGCTCATAGACAATTTTTAGAGTTGATATCTAGTTAACAGAGATGTGAGTGAGTGAGTGAACAGATAGAAAAAAAGAAAAAGAAACAGATATCATGCTTTTTCATATTAAAAGAATATAGCTTTGATAACACTTCATCTATTGTTAAATTCATATTCATGGAGGGGGAAAAAATAATAATAATAATAATGATAATAATGAATCAACATTTAGCATGTAAAAAAATATCACTTCCTTCTAACACATAAAGAACAAAGCATCAGATCATTTCATTTCCCATTTCCCATTTCCCATTTCCCATTTCATTGCTTCAGTGAAACCTTAGCACCATGGTGGCTGGCACATGTGATGGTGATCCACTCAGCCCATGGCTCCGGATCGCGCGATTCGATAGAGCGGAAATGCTGCATTAGCCGGATTGTGGTGTATGAAGCTTCTGCGAGGGCGAATTGTTCTATATTTTTTGGTTTGTTAGAAAGGGGGGTTTTGAAAAAGCCCATCACATTGAAAGAAGCATTCGGGTGAACGGATGGATGGCAGGGGGTTTTCAAAGCGCAAAATGGGGGTGTTAGTGAGGAAGGAAGGTAGAAAACTTACGACCAAGACAAATCCTCGGCCCACCATTAAACGGCAAATACTCCCACCCAGGCCTTAATGATTCCCATCGCTCCGGTTTGAATTCAGCAGCGTCGGGCCCATAGATGTCTTCGCGTCTATGCATGCTGTAGACGCTGTAGGCGAGCGTCGTGCCCTTTTTGACAAGAATCGGCGATTTGCCGTCCAGTCCACCACCACGGGGGAGGATAGTGTCGCGGATGGCGGCGCGGGCGTTAAATGGGACGACGGGCCAGAGTCGGAGAGCTGGGAAGGGGCGGGGAAAAATGTTAGGTGGCAAAAAAAAAAAATAAAAATAAAAATAAAAAGGGATGGGGGGGGGGGTTTGGCAGTGGGTTTATAAAGGGTTTGCTTGGTATAGGAATTTTTGCGCGAGACTCACCTTCGTTAAGCACGTATTTGAGATATTTCATATTTTTCATTTCTTCGAATGTAGGCTTTCTTCCGTTGAGTTCGTCAACTTCCACGCGGAGTTTGCTCCACACATCTGGGCGTTTGGAAATGATGTTCCAGACATTCGCTAGAAGACTCGCTGTGGTATCGCGGCCCGCAAGCAAGATGTTCAGGGTTTCGGAACGGAGAGCGATAGGGTCTTGAGTCTGCTTCGCCAGTTCTTGCAGGAATACGTAGCGGCCCTTTTCCTGTACAGGGAGGCGTCCTGCCTTTTCATCCCTGAAATGCTCAAGCGCCTTCATCACATACCGATCCGCAAAATCATGAATCAGCTTCTGATCCCTTTCAAAGCGTTTGTCGGTCTTGAAATATCTGTCGAGGAGTCCGAATCGTAGGGAGTTGCCAATTTCTGTCGTGCAGTACGTGAAGGCCTCGCCGAAATTTTCTCCGGTGAGAGGACTAGTACTTTTATGAAGAGTGTCAGCCGACTCTCCGAACAAGAACTCGGTTGCAGTATCTACGGTCAGGTGAAAGAACAGTGGCTGGAGGTCAACGGTAGATCCATCGGTCGGGACCACCTGGATAAGGCTTTGGATATGTCGTTCGAAAATAGCAAGGTCAGCGACCTGAGCGCGGTTGAAATTTGGACGCAGCATGGTTCTCGAGTGCTCCCATTGGGGACCGTCTGTGGTGAATATGCCATGGCCAAAAACGCCATGGAAAGCCTGTTTTCTAAGGGCGTTGATATGGTAATCTGCGAACTTGAGGGATAATACGGTCTTAATGTTCTCAGGTTCGCAAGTAGAAATTGCTTTACAAAGAGAGTTAGATGCTATGAATAACCTAGATAACTATAGGATACATATTTGTGGCAATAGGACTTACCGGGTATTCCGATACTGTTCAGCGAGTAGGTATTTCCAACAGTCTTGAAGCGTTTCTGGGCTTCTTGGAGGAGGATATTCTTCTTCTTATGTCTGCTAGCTTTAATAGCGAGATCCAGTCCAAGAATAGGATCTTTGTGTGGATATGCAGGAGGTGGTCTGCATGCATTCTCCTTGGCTAGTTTACGGCGAGCAGCACCAACGGTTAAGTAAAGGTGTATTTGATATAGGCCGAAGAAGGCCAGACCTCCGAATAGGAGGTGTATCAAGGACAACATTGTGGATGTTGTCGCGCAAGATTGTACGATTGCGCGATTGTACGGAAATCTGCTGTTCTGTGCACCGAATCGCTGTTTGATAGACCCCTCGATCCAGGGCCGAGTGCACGGTTATAGATTTACTGTGAGACGAGCTGTGTAAGTGGTGATCTTTCCAACGTTGCATACTCTGACATACATACATACATGTACATGTACATGTACAGGGACACACATCCGCAACAAATGAATAGTTAAACCAAAGAAACACCATCAAAGGGCATTGTTACAGGGCATGATAGGGCTCATTACTTACTTTGTTTAATCAATCAACGTCAACCAAAGCGATGCGGCGTTGAGGAACAACAAGGAGGAAGCTCCAGGATATATTTATAGTACCTCCACAAAGCGAGCTATGTAGGCTGATAATTTTTGAGCAGAACTGAAAAAAGGCCAAAGAAATGTGGGATTCATGCTCTATTTCCAGGAATTTTGGGCCCTAGATCTAGCCAATCCGCAGCGGGCGATACCTAAGTTTAGCGGTTCGATCTGCGCATAGAGTTTGCTACGTAAGTTACTATGTAGGGACTCTACCAACAGACTCGCCGGATGCTCAAAGCACACAACCCAACCGGCGACAACAGCGTCAAAACAACCTAGGTTCGATATCGATTTGCCGGCCTGGGATTGCATGCGTGGGCGGGGAACGGGCTCGGCGTATTTGTCCATGCCATGCACCACAGCAGCAGTAGTTCAGCGAATCCCATCTAGACATTTCCGGGGCAAAGTAACTAGTTTTTCTAGAAATTCGACGCTTTTGCTGCCCGCCTAAGTCGTCTGGTTGGTGGTCGGCCCCAGCTAGACAGCGCCACCTCGCGTGGGCTTCCAGACATGATGACCACTCTGGCTATACGGGGGGGGGGGGGCAACTTGCAAGCAAGCAAATGATTTCATTTCTTGGAAATTCCCCCGCGTGTCCTTGCCCGAAGAAGTGCTCCACCAAGGCGATCAACCGGCGCTCTTTTTAAGGTGCAATAATGGGGTAAAAGTCACCCCGCACGCCGAGTCCAAGTATCCGAGTTGCCAACATCAGGTCGGACATGAAAAAGGAAGAAAGATATTAGTTAACTACCCGGAAGGTCGGCGAGTAAGAGGGGAAAAAACCGCGGATATTTTCTAGTTTCGCAGTCAGAATGCTAGGCTTAGAGGCTATTCTTGGATAGTTAATCCCTTTTAACGATGGAACCTCGGTTTCAAGGGAACACGATCGGGAGAGCTCTTTGCTCATTTTGATACGATGCTCTCGTTATGCAACCGTTAGTTGATGTGTGAATCGAGCAGTAGGAGAACATCTCGCTCATCCACAACGATTCACGAGAGGTTAAGCTTAACCCAGCCAAGCCACTACCGCTAACAGCATAGCTACGCTAACTCTATTCCCAAATTAGTTAACTACCGGGGCTGTAACTGCAGACTGTACGAGTATCTCCGTGAAGAGGGCATAAAATTCCCTGACAGGATTGACGCTTGTCTGGGGGCTATGTCGAACTAGCCAGCTACCATTGGTTGAGAACCCTCCTGAATACCCCGAATCAGTTCAAACCATGCAAGTTTCAGCGGTTGACACGATCGTTCAAATAATTGTGTGCATATTTAACTCCTCATCTACCTCGGCCCACCAGCTCAACAGCTACGGGATGGATGGCCAACTGACTAGATTTACGCTACGTATGGGGTCACCTATTGGATAGGCATCTTTACATCAGGCTTGCGTTGGATCTGGTTCTTTGGGAATAATACGCCTGCTAGCGAACCCAGGAGCCTGGGGAACCTTTCTTTCGAGATTGCGGACTCTCCCGAACCGGAGGCGCCGACTGGGCTTCCTACAATGGTTTGATCTTGCACAAAGATACTCTGTACTCTGATGAGTCGTTAATGAAAGGAACACATCATCAAGAGCGTCGATTACCCTCTAAAACGGAGTTAAGGAAACATGGGAATCGAATAGGTTAAAGGATGGAGTACCAATACAGTCATCCCCAAAACCTAATCATCCTTGAAGAATGCTCTTTTCTAAAATAAAAAAAAAAGAGAGAGAGAGAGAGAAAGAAAGAAAGAAAGAAAGAAAGAAAGAAATATAGCGCCTTTGGTTCGACCTAGACTTGAGATATGTTTCATTTTTCCGAATACGAATCTATTACGGATAACTACAAGCCAGCACTTGCTAACCTTCTACTTTTCTTCTCGTGAGGTTCTGTTGGGGACGGCTTTGGGTTGTTAGCATTTTACTCACTCGGTGAGTGAGTCGGTGGCCGACGCATTTTCTCTTTACGTAAATAATGAGGTTATCTGGCTCAGGGCTGGTTAAAAAGTTGTGTGTTTGACCAGCTACTTGAGCTAATTATGAGCAGTATAAATCTGGCACAGTCAACGATATATTGTATCTGGCTGAGGTTGAGGTATGTCATCATTCTTTCTAATCATGATCAATCTGCCCCTTCATAAGCACGAAACATTTATCTCTCGATTTCTAATAAGTAATAACGACGTGCGAACTACCTATTTTCGGTTTCCTGTGGCTTAACTACGAGAAACTACTGGTTGAAATACACCCTGAGCTTACATCTTCCCGTGGGGCTCAATGGATCAATTGTATTTTTGGCTGAAAAGAGAAAGCTGACCTCTATCTAGTTAAGTGTTTTGCCACCCTCGATTTTTGGATCCTGTTCTCTCCGATATCAGCCCTAAAAACAATGGGACTTTCTCCTCTGTTACGGTCGGACTCACTGTCGTTTAGCTGACTGCAGCAGAAAAGGCGGAGCCATTGGCCACCTACAAGCAGCCCTCTGCTACATGTCGATGCGTAGGCTCATGGGCCGGATGGCTGGATACCAGAAGCCGGAGAGTATTGGGAATTTGGAATGCACAAGTAGGTAGAGCGTGACCGCAATTTCACAGAAATGTGCCCGATTTCCAATGACTTTTAGGCAACAGGCATTAGACAGTGAGGAATTGTACTGGGTGGCTAGGTTAAGGCATGCTGACACGTCGTTGTCGCTTTTAAACCCCTACACCTGGAAACTTTCTCAAATGGATTTCTGGAATGAGATGTTATTAACATTGGACCCTGGTGAGCGCCTGAATGATGGCGCGAAACTTGACCAGGGTCTGCTGGATATGGGTGTATGCTATTTAGCTGTACAACTCAAGGGACTTTGGTGTAATATAAGGAGAACACAGGTTGGTATATAACTTGACCTAGAGACTTTTACGGAAAGATTTTCTATCCTACGCAACATCCTCCCGAACACCTTCAAGATATGGAAAGCGGCTAATGAAGACTGTACGGAAGACGGTTTTAAAGATGAATGCCGGCTCATTAGATGCCAACTAAGCAGTGCTACCCGCCAATTGCACTGACAGGCCCAGGCAACATTATGAACAGGATGCCTATTAGAGCTGTGCATCTTCCCTTGTTCTTGTTCCCTATGTGAGATGTTAACTTAGCTCTTTTTATCATTCTATCAATTGTTATTCCATCTAACCAGCCCAACTGTCATTGACCGGTGAGACCCGCAGATATTTGCTGATTTGCAGAGAGAGAGAGAGAGAGAAATTCCTCACAGCGCCCTGAATGGTAATTTCAAGGGTTAGAAAACCAGCTGTCTCATTGCTGGACAAGGTCCGTTTTGGCATAAGGAGGACCCCAACTGAAGGTGACTCAGTTCAAGGGGCTCACACAGTATATATGTTGGACAGACCCATGTCCAGTTCAGGACCCCGCATTTCAGCTTCATACTCTACAACAGACATTGCTCAAGGCGGGTTTTTACCCATCCTTCCCTCGGCAACGTTCGGCCATTTGACCTTGACTTGCTGCCCCACTCGAGCTGGACTTCGACAGGAGGACAACGAGCAGAAACGGGCCCAACTATCGAGCCTTTCAGCAAGGCAAACATGCCCGGATATACTCACTCGACATACTTACTCGGCCTCGCAAGTGTTGTGCTGGTGGGGCTAGCAATCGTCATTGGCACTTTCTTTGTGAAGCTGTACCATGCGCGCATGCTGCTAATTGACCGTCGAAGAAGCAGTCTGGTAAACTCCCACCCGTTGATTTTCATGTTCATATTTTCTGCTACTCAAGAGCATAGCTAAACTACTCTAAGCCCGTGGTTCCAGGCCATTCGTTTCGATTTGGCCATCTCTTTTTATCTCAAAGACATTTTTGACCGGCTTGCCAAGAGATGCCCATTATCAGTTTGGCCTCGCAACGATTGCTCGAGAGCAATTCTACGAGACGGGGGGCTTCTACATAGACCGCTGGCCGATGAGCGGTTTGTTCGTTATTGTAGTCTCACCTACGATCGGTATGGAGATTACCCAACAAAACCCCAGGCTTGCATCTAACCGTCCTAAACAACTGTGTCGTTACCTCAAACCTACTACCGGCGGTCCCACCATTTTAGACATGGATGAAAAAGAATGGAAGCCATGGCGTGGAATCTATAACAAAGCATTTCACCGTGACCGAGTCATCTCTCTTGTGCCTTGCATGGTGGAAGAGGTATTAGTCTACGCCGAAACCTTTAGCGGAGACCGGAGATATGTGCTTTTTGGATCCAATCACGCTTCGTTTCACGATCGATATAATTGGGAAAACAAGCCTGTAGGCGTGTTTTTATTTATCCATTCATATCTTCCTCGAACTTAGCAGTGTCTAGGGATTTGCAAGAAACTGAAAGCTTCCTTATCGTTAGGTACTCAAGGAGGCTATAATGCTCTAACAGACGGCATGCTAAGGCAGATCTAGTGGCACTAGGTCCCAATGCAGCTGCTACAGCCATCGTCATCAGGGGAAATCCTCGCGTGATAAACAGCCTACAATACACACTTGCCGTCATTAGAGAATCGAGGCGTCTTTTCCCACCTGCAGGTGCTACCCGTGCGGGTAAGCGGGGCATCAGTGTAACAGATGATGCAGGCAACGTTTGCTCAACCGACGATGCTATCCTATAGATCCTGCACGTCGAAATGCAAACTTCAGAAAGTACTGGGTGAAACCCGGTGCTTTCTTACCGGAACGTTGGCTCGTTCTCCCTGACCATGAGTTACACCCTTCACCCGGCGCCTGGTGTCCCTTTAGAACACGGGCCGAGAAACTGCGTTGCCCGAACCCTAACACTTGTTGAAATGAGCATCATACTTGCATGTTTTTAGCTATGATGAGTGGGACGTCAAACATCCGGTGAGAGGGGGAAAGCACTACCAGGGTGAACGGGCGGAATCTAGTTGAAAGCGGAGCTGCACATCCAGCGAAGCAATATCCTTCTCATATTAAGCTAGCAAAATAGCATACCTGGTTTGCTCTCTTTAAATGTTGCTTTCCTACACGCGTCGCAGAGAGTTTTCTTACAGATTCACTCTGCCAAAGCTCATATATGGTAGAGCATTTCTCCCTTATTCATCCCACTCCAAAGACCTGAAACCGGACCTCCTCCAGTTATGTGATTTGGCCAACAAAGTTCAACATTTACTCATATCTCCAGTGCGCCTGTTCTTGTTTTAGTTCGCTACGTAGGGCTTGTCTTAGCACTTCCGATACAAACCTCTCTCCATATAGCCTGTGTGCAATGAAGACAACCATGAATTTTAAGAATTCTAAGAATTCCGTATTGGCGATTTATTCTCTAGCCTCTTCCGGCCTTCAAGACCCTCGCAGAGCGTAGAGTTGGTTGCGCCTGAGTATTCCTTACACTCTAGTTCTGAAACAGGTCAATCAGGACAGCAATGGGTGAACCCGGTCGTCACCGCGGCCTTGGGATACCGCGTGTGTTGTTCTAAACCTTGACATGACAAATTCATCTGAGAACCTGTTGCATAGGTTTTGAACAGTATCATATAGTGCAGTAGAAGAATAGGTTGCTCCATTCTCAACTAAAAGCATGTATCATAGGTCGATAGTCTCGCTACATCGAGAACATAGGCTCAATTAACTCAAAATTAATTCCCTATAAATGAGCAATAATAGCGGACATTTCCACATGGATCCGAGTTATCTGACTAGAGTTGAGTTGCGAGGTTCCGCCCTAAACACCATTCGCCACACCAAGACACAGGGAGTGATTGCAGTAAGGGCTCAAATCGCGGATAAACGCCAAGTGAAATTCAGAGTTTCTGCAACTCTGTATATCTATATTCCGAGGAGATGGGTGCGAGAGATGATCGTACATAATGGAGAGGAAAATAGCAATATGTATTCACCAAAGAACACCTGAAAATGGCCCCAAAAATAAGACAATGCTGATAAAATGTACAGTGAAGATTCCATCCCAATGAGACCAGGTGGAAGAGAAAGGCCAAGTAAAACAGGTATATAACACATGCAAATAAATGGAAAAATGAAAGTATAAATTGAGGAAGATCTGCCTTCTCATGTCGCAATTTGGGCTGGAAAATTGCTGAAAGATGGCGACTTCGCACTGGGTTTCACACCGTTTCTACCGTCCTGTTATCCAGCTCGTCCAACTCTTCTTCGGTTGGTTTGACGCTTCATCTACCTTCGGTTCTAATTGGCCGGGCTCACCGGGGTTGGGACCTTGCTCGAATGGCGCAGCGTTTTCCACTCTGCTAGCATTCACAGCTTCAAGCACGCTTGGTCTCGCATTGGCAACTTCGTCGTTACCTTTGAGTTCAGCACTTGTACCGTCTTCATTTTTAAGTCCTCCGAATAGCCATTCCTTTCCCTTGTAAAACATCGTTTGCTTTTTCAATTCCTCCTTTTGTCTCCTTTCCATATCCGCCTGCTTCTCTTGTTCCAATAATTTAAGCTGCTCTACTGTGGGATTGCCTGCGACATATGCTTTTTTTGCCTCCAGGAGCTTGTCTAATTCTTTATCAATCCACAGTTGCTTTTGGCGGCGATTGTAAAGTATCAGCGAGGTTGCTGAGTAGATGGTGAGGGCGGCAGCGAGACCTAAATTTGATAGATAACCGTCGAGTTAGAACCCTGCATCCAAGGATAGAGAACAAGTGAACGGGAGTAGCAAATGAAGTATCATTCCAATTTCCCATTTTCCAATCCTGATAAAAACCATCCATCATGGAAACGGTAAAATTTAAATCACACGACCGGTTGATCCGGGAAAAAGGAAATTAACCTACCAGATGCAGTTATAAGAGTATAAACTGTAACCCTGTGTGCACGGTCGGCCCATACCCGCCCCTTTGACATAACCCGATCCATCGGGGTAAAGGCCTTCGCATATCGCGCCGCACGAGCCTGAGCGCGTAGCCGTTCGACTTTCTGCTTGGGAGTCTCTTGTTTGCCCCCGGGGCCCGATCCGGTCGTCGTAGATGAGCTAGTTCCTGCGCCCGCCGACCTTGAAGTGCCGGAGTTTGCTACTGACGGTTTCGAGGACGCATAGGGGCCCGTCGCTGTGAAACGGGTTGCGTCTGCTGCGGAACGAGACATGGTCAAAGGAGGGGTAGCTAGGCCAATTGGCCCGTGGGAGGGGGATATGGAGCTTTCAAAATAATACTGGCAATGCAGACTACGGCAGAGTATATCCCATTGAGTAGTGATAAAGGCTGGGCTCGTAGCTGTCTAGGGTTGTTGATCTGAGGTGTCTGGATGTTGTTCGCAGCTTAGGGAAATTTTTCGGATGAGAACGCACGGTCAGCCAAGACTCGGGACCAAATAGGGACTAGCGCGTAAACTGCCATTGAAACCTAGAGGTTACTCCGTACACTTATCTAAGTTATAGTTAGGACGACACGAGTTCTACAAGCAACATAAGAGAAAGCGCAAAGTAGAGATACAAGGGAGCGATTTTGAGGAGCGGTTGAGGGATCTTATCTGATTTGCTCTGCTATAGTTTTTATCATCACAACAACTACCATCACATGCAATGGCAGCTCCATCAAACGACGTTGTCCCGGATCTCGCTTCAGTTCTGAGGACACTTTCAGCCTATGCGCCAGGTACTGTCGATCAATCTAGAGTTCATAATCCTCCAGTCGGGAGCTCGAATCATAGCCTGAATGCTAGAGCAATTCCAACCTCTAGACATTCTCCCCTGGAACAGAACCCTTTTCATCCGAACCAGCCGCCCAATCTACCTGACCCGTCCACAATAACCACCTGGCCCGCGGCATTGAAATATGTCATGAAAACCGTGGCGCAAAATGAAGCAACCCAGTCCAAGATTAAGAAGATGATTCGCACGCAGCATGACCATGAGAAACAATGGTGGGAGGGCAGGCAGGCATTGCTATCAAAGCAGGCAGGCCGGGAAGCGAAGAGGAAACAGCTTGATGATGTCTTGTAAGCTCAGGAATTCTAATCCACTCCGCTTTATTGAAATGATGCTTCTGAGAATAGTTTGATAACTCTCGTTCCTAGACGTTCAGTTGGCGGGGCTGTGTCGAAAGACTCTAATCCTCCTGTATGTCCATACCCCGATCATGCCCACAAAACGCGATGCTCCTTTTTGCAGGTAAAACCGTGCTTTGGGCTTTCTTTGAAGGAGTTTCTAATGCTGATTCCTCCTTCTTTCTATGTAGAGCGCTGAAGATGATAAAATCGAACTTGACACCTACGATAAAAAGGTATACAGGGCCCTAACAACCATGTCGAAAGCTCTTGACATGGAACTGCGCGACCTGGGTATACCTTTCTTTACTATTCCGCACAAGCTAGTCACTTCGTCATCCAATCATGTTTCGGATTCACATTCAAGTGAACCTCTCAAGCCGGAAGAACTCAAGGCTCTACAACTGCGAATGCTGCAGCTCTTGGAAGATCTTTGTAAAGATTGAGACTTGAAATGTCCCAGGGAAATCTGTGTCCACCCATAGCCCTCTTTGAAATTTAAGAGCTACAACCATACGGTGCCTCTACCGGGAAGCAGTTTACATATGCATATGTCAGAAATTTTTGATCTCGCCAAAATAAAAATTCTTGGCATTGTTTATATCATCTCTCAGGTTCGAAGTCGTGGATTGGATTCGAGGCCCATTGGATGTGTCCCCAGAGCGCAAACTGCGTTGTGTAACTTGAATAATCGATCCGCTTGGCGCATTGCATTGGCCGACACACTCCATTCGAACGAATGTATCAAACACAACTTGAACCACTCGGCTCTCACTCTTCTCAGGTCTCTATGCCCAACTGCGGTGGAAACACCCTGCTTGTCTTTGAAGAAAGATACTTGACATGATTAGCGAAGGAGTTCCTTTTGCTCGTAATGTGCTGTCTGTGGCAGGTCTACGAGGAATTGGATGGCCATATTTTAGTGGTTAACCACTTAGGTCGATATAAAGAGGGGAGATGGGCTTACTCACTTCCACCCAGGAAAAGAATTATTTTTTCAGCAATGTACCATCGAGTTTTACGTGATAGAGGTTTGGTGGGTTCGATCCAGCAAACTAACCAGCAAACTAAAAATTAATCTTTCGCCTTTTTCCCCCTGGACATCATTTCTTGTCTTGTATAATTGACCTTTTCTCCGTTATTGTGGCTGTTAAATCTAAAGGAGCGTCAGTGTACTTTTTAATTTCCGGAAAAATGCGGTCCGCGCGAAATGCTATACGAAACGTATCGCCGTTAATACATCAAAGACGGATATCGAGTAAGCCTCTCCAAGAACCAGCACAGCTGGGTTTCGCCTACACTTGGCTCGAAACTACCCGATAGCTACTTAGAGACGTTTGGACAACAAGCATTTTTGAATTTCTAGTTGAAGAGCCGACGATGACTCCCATTGTCTCCAAGGTCACGCTTGGTCCCGAGCAAAGACGCCAAAGGCATTGCGAAGATTTGAGTTTATTTGTTATGCCGGCTACGAACCTTATCAGGACACCAGAAAGGGGAGTTATCCATTGTTTCTCGTCACAGTGACATATTTTCTACACGAAACAGCACCGAATCTGAAAGACGAAAAACCATACTCCGAGATTCTCCAGTGTTTTATACTCCTATATCGTCAGGAATCCGGCATCACCTTTAACCCTATGCGCTCGGGATGCAACGTTTCTTAGATGCTTCGAGGGCTGATACAAAAGGAAGCTTGCGTCGAGAGAAGAGTTTCTTTCTTCCTCGTAGAAGAAAACTGCTAGATAGCTAGAGGCCTTGCTTTCATGGAAGGTCCCGTGCAGAACGACAAACTCTCAAGGCTCGGGATGACTTCCAGACCAGAAGTTAATCCTCCGTTTGGTATATAAAAACTATGATAAAATCAGCCATATCACCTCTCCAAGCTGTGCTTGTACATTTCCTCAATCTTTACTTCACAAGAAATCTTGCACATACTCATCTTCAATACAACCAACCCTTAATCCTGAAAACCAAGACAAGAGAGAAGAAAGCTAGATGCAAGAGAATAGGAGTGAACGGATAACCAGCAGTCATGGCATCTGGCAAAGTCGCTTACAGCCCCTTCAACGACAATACTCCAGTCATCCGCATCCGGATCGTCGCTCATTACAACCTCAGCCAAGTCTCCTCCGCCAGTTACGGCCACTGGTCCATCTACCTATGCAAGCCGAACAACCTTGGCTCCACGCGCATAAACATGCGAGCCATATGGGGTGAGCCAGAGGGTATCCTAGACTGGACCAAACACCCCTACGAGATGCCAATTCCTAAAACAATGCATTGGGACTGGCCTGTTTCTCGCGACTCTGAAGTTCGACATTTTGCTAATTATATCACTACTCTGGGACGGGATAAGTATACATTTTCGGTGAATAATGGCGGGTGTCGGTATTGGATGTAAGTCGGGTTGGGTTCATTTCATCTGTATCTCCTCTCTTTCCGTTCTCCAATTGTTCTATAGATATTCTTTGTCTTATTATTATTCTCGACTTATTTTGTTAACCATCTTTCTTTATAGAGCCACGGTTTTATCGGACTTCGCCAATGCTGAGTTCATTCAGTACAGCGTTTTTCAGACCATGCTTGGAAATCTAAGATATCGGTATTATGCAAACGCGCCCCCTGCCTGGATAGATATCATTCCAGGTACCTTTGCTAGTGGTTACGTGTTACCGGAATTCCGGTGAATTGAATCAGTTAACTGGGGCTTTTTCTTGTCGTTTGGCCTATCATAATAGTTTTCAAAGGCATATAATATAAATCAAGGTAGATATCGATTGCCCGGTGCGTATCACTTGATTTTGTATAGGATATATCATGTATAATATACAATCTCCCAGGTGTTGTATTGGCTGCCTGATTTAGAATAGGGATAGCATTCGCTCTCATATTCTCGAGCTGTTTTCCGGCCCATATAGTGATGTATAAATAGCGATCCAATGCAACAATTGCAAGTCTTCTTTCACCCGCATCGCCAAGTTCCGTACATAGATATTCGCTGTTGATTTCCCGGCCATTTCCGCTTACTTCGGAGGGCTTAGTGGCGAAGACCACTCCAAGCAAGTAGCCGTGAAATGAATGGGGTAACTGCATGAGGATTTCGCCTTGGAATTCATGTGAGGTCATATCGAGGTGAGTTAATAAACGCTAAACTAGAACCGGAGTTCCCCAATATGGCCTGTGTTGGCGTAGCAAGGTCATTGAAGAACGGTTGAATCCGAAGGTGATGACTTAGGCTGTGCTGGGCGCTGGAAGAGGAATGAAAAATCACAGCACTAGAGTACTCAGCTGCATAGATATATGCATTTATGTCCCTTCTAGGATTCTCAAGGTAGCACACACAGCCAGGAAAATTTAGTATTTCGTAGCTTCTGTAGACACCCAACGTTAAAACCGTAGAGGGGCCGCGACTGGAAACGCGACTTCACTTCTCCTTCCAGCATGACAGGAGCATTTTTTTCCGATAACGTGAGTCCGAGGATTGCTCAGGGAACATACAGATTGGAGTTTGATTGCCAACTAAATGTTGAAACTCTGCTCTACCCACCACTGCCTTCTGACTATCTAAAACCCGAGAAATTCTCATTACATGTTTCGTTTGAGAGTGTGCGGAGGGAACGGAGGAGATAACGAAAGGGACAAAAAAGAAAGGGAAAAGCAAAAATAGTAATCAGAGGCGAGTCATGAGCGGAGGTTGGGTTGCAAGGCGAAAATATTGTAAAAGGAAAAAGGAGATTAAATTAAGATTCGCTACATATAGCACAACAGATTACAATGAAAATGTTCTCCCTAATAACCTCTTTGTACCCAAGATCGTGTTTTGTATCACCCCATGCCTTGGCCGATTTGATTTCGATGCAACCCGATTTTTGAAGAACGAAATGCACCGGATGGAACCGAAGGAAACTTTTGATAAATGATCAAAATGATTAAGTGACAAACAAAAGATGGTTTAGGAGAGTTGAACAGGGAAATTATAAATTGAGAGTGAACATGAAGTGCAGCAAAAGTCATTCCCGTTTTATTTTGTTCTAGAAATGGATGAAAGCAAAGGAGAAAAAAAAAAAAAAAAGGACAACAGAAGAGAAAAGAAAACTCAAGAAGACTCATTGACATGATTCCCATTCGTCCCATTACTCGCGACACCATTCTGTTTCGATGCGCGAACGGCTCTGCGAACGCGTACAGCCTCGGCAAGCTGCTCAAGCACATCAACGGTCATTTCCCAATTGATGCACGCATCAGTAATGCTGACACCCTTGACGAGCCCCGACGGCCCCTCGGGCGGCACCTTCTGGTTCCCCTCATAGATATTCGACTCGATCATCACACCAATGATAGCCTCCTCCCCATTCCGCAGCTGGTCACCAACGGACTGAGCAACAATGGGCTGGTTGAGATGGTTCTTCTTCGAGTTTCCGTGCGAGCAGTCCACCATGACGATCTCGCGCTGCTTCTTCTTGCGCAGATCCTGGCGCGCAGCCTCAATGCTCTCGGGGCCATAGTTAGTGCCCTTCGAGCCGCCGCGGAGGATCACGAAGCCGTGCTCGTTGCCGCTTGTCTTTGTGATGGCTGCTAACCCTTGCTTGGTGACACCGAGGAAATGGTGGGGATTTGCGGCGGCGCCAATGGCGTCGATGGCGACACCCAGGTTGCCGTCCGTGCCATTTTTGTAGCCAATGGGGAAGCTGAGGCCCGATGCAAGCTCCCGATGGAGTTGCGATTCGGTTGTTCGGGCGCCAATGGCGCCAAGGGAGATAAGGTCTGCGAGGAATTGGGGTGAGATTGTGTCCAGCATTTCGCTGGCGATGGGCATACCCATGCCGTTCAGGTCGGCGTAGAGCTTTCTTGAGATGCGTAGACCCTTGTTGATGTTGTAGGATTCATCGATATCTGGATCGTTGATCAGGCCCTTCCAGCCGACGGTGGTACGGGGCTTCTCGAGATAGGCGCGCATGATGATACAGAGATCCGCCTTCAGCTTGTCGGAGAGATTCTTCAATCGTCTGGCATATTCTAGGGCGGTATCTGGGTCGTGAATCGAGCAAGGACCACATATAACGAGGAGGCGGTCATCGCGCTGTTCAATGATTTCAATGGCCTCGTTGCGGCCGGATTGTACGGTTTTAATAGCTAGTTCTGGCTGTATTGAGTGTCAGATATTGTCCAATCTTCCCATTGGCCTTTCTTTTGCTCGATATATATGTTCTCGCAACATATAGTTCTATTGACATGCCATCCCCGTAGCTTCAGACAGGTGTGACTCACAGCACGGATTTCAGTCTGGAGGAATTGAGGAGAGAGGAGGGGGTCGTATCCCAGGACTAACGTATCGGTCAGTTCCATGATGGGATTTTTAAAGTTAATAGTATAAGATATAAAGCCTGACTCACTCCTGGTGTCTTCGTTGACTTCAACAGAGGCCTTTACCAGCGGCATTGTGAGGGTATGCGAATGGGTCACAGAAGAAGTAAAATTAGCTCTCTGGAGAGGGGGAGGGAGGGTCGGGGAGCGGCAGGGGTTTTTAAAACTCTGGCAGAAGTAATCAAACAGGGAGCACAAAAAAGAAAAGAAACACAGCTAACTTGCAGGGCAGCGTGGTATTTAAGAAGCAAAATGGTAAGACACAAAATTGAGCTTCGTTTCTTGTCCTGTCGTCACTCTTCCCTTGCTGCGGTGTTTGTTACGTAGAAGAAGTTCTGTTCTGGTCGTCGGTGATGCGGGACCGAATGACTCAGCGTTTTTTTTTTTTTTTTTTTTTTTTTCTTTTTTTAGCCTCCAGTGTCACATCACGTGATATGCACCATCCCGCAGCCTTTTCAGACCAGCCAGCTGCGAAACCCACACTCTCCGACTGGTCAGATTCACTCAGCGAGCAGAACGATCTTCAGGCCAGCCCCCCACAAAAGCCAGCCAGCCGTAAGAACTTAGACAAGTCCATAATTTCAAGTTGGGATGTGTCGGATCCGCATTTCTGATGGGTTGGGATACAGGCAGCTGGACAAGGTTTGGGCTTGCAGTTGTCTCCCGGGATCCATCTGCCCATGCCATTGTTACAGAGCATTCAATTACCTTTCTCAAAGGAGGTCTTCGGAGCTCAACGATTTCATTGGCTCTGCAGCTCAAGGTTGAAAATTTCTGGCGCCGTCCGATTCGCGATCCGCCTGCAGGATTGAGCTCGCCCTTCGTCAAACCAAAAATAGGGATCTCCTGGGGTGCCGGGTGTGGTGCTACGGCCCCACCACCGAGCAATCGCCGCCCCAGAATTGCCCCGGTAAGATTTATTACTGTCATGCTTGAGTTGTCGCTGGGCAGCCAATGGAACTAGCGCCCAACTTTGGGTTTTATGCTGATGCACCTTGCCCAGCTCCTTGATCTACAGGGACGACCACCCTCTTTTCCGGACTAGGGACATCCACATCTTCTTCTCAAAATTGGACTTCTCAGCACCCAGTTTAGGAGGCGGAGCTGTGTAGTTGCTTGTGGGTTGAATCATCCTGCAGTGATGGTGCCAGCTCGTCCAACTCTGCCTTCTTTGGTGGGTAATACAAAGCGATGAGGTGGGGTGTTGCGAAGAATGAACAGAAGCAGAGACAGCTAGCAAGCTGCAAACGAAGGATACGAATCAAGTAGCATGCCGTGTTTCGGTCGGCACTGCCGGAACCTTTCACTTGCATTTGTTTGGCTTCAAGGGTTTGGCAGGTCGATTTCGGAAATGTATCCGTTCGGGGAGCTATTGTGATTGATTGATTACTCGGTTATGATTTCCGACGGCGCCTCCATTTTAAAGAACACTTGCACAAGAAATTCAAGGCGTCAACCAGAGCGGTCCGTGAAGCCCACTTTTATAGGTACGTAGTACTAACTGAACCCGTCTACTTAGACTCTTCAGTTCATATGACTGTAACAGGAGGGCGTGTTTTATCGCCAGTCCGCAAATGAGTGTTTGATGATGTCAACTCAACCTACCAAGCCCCACATTGATGTACGACATTCGTTGCACTGGTTAAGAATAAAAGGTCAGTACGGGCCAGAATGCGATCTGATTCCCCAATCTTCAGCCTTGGGAAGTCATGAGGGCCAAATCGACGATCAACAGCTCGTTCCAATCAGCTTTTGCCCAAATCCAATTTCAGAGAGCTTGATAATTACATTACTCTTTTAGTTTGTTAATTGCTAGTTCGAGCCAATTATATGACTCTATCTTTCTAGGCGGTTTAAGTTTAATATACGGAGTAGATACTTTTCGGAAAGCAGCTGAGAGACAGTTTTGGCTCGGAAACTCAAGCGTCGACGGCAAAAACATTTGCGTGCCCGATGGAGGACAAACAAATCCCAACAGGAAAACAATGCCTTGTTTAGAACAATTCCTGGTGTATAACATGAAACCAATTCGTTAAGAAATAATACTTGAGCTAGTTCTTGAAAAATTTATGCACTAAGCTGAAAGTAGTTAAATCAAAACAAGACTTGAAAGTAAGCAATGGATTAATGTTTCTCCATCTCCGCCAGCCCCGGCTTTATTTTACACTAGTGACACATTAGGGCTAGCGTTTACTTTTGGCCGCAAGCCCATACAATATGATTGGTCAATTCTGACTTGAACCCCCTTATGTAAGCGCCGATCATCAGCCCGACGCTTCAGGATGAGCCGCAACCGGTTCCAACAACATCCAAGCCGACATCTTCAAACAACTATCTCGAAGGATCAGACAGGAGCAGTGTCATGCTCACTGAAACCTCACGTCATGTAGCGCTCATTTCTCCTTGGCTCGTCGTCGTTTGCCACGCTCATTAATACCCCGATCTTTGTTTGGATTGACTCCTTCTCTTCCTTTAACTCCCTACAGATACAGCGTCAAACAGATGTTGTTGGGACGTCTACCGCTCCCATACACTGTTCTATATTTTTCGAGCCTTCGTAGTTACTCCTGGTGAAGAGGTGGAAATGATGTCGGGCATATCTGCCAAACGCCAGCGGGAAGATGACTTTGAGAAGGCGGAGTTGGATTGGGAGCGGGGTCGCAAGGTATGTGTTGGACACAAGCCCCATTTGCTTCTCTCTAAACACGGAGGGCTCTTCATTTAGAATATAACGACCATTCCCACTGTGGATTGTTCTTTAACTTTCTAATACTAATACTTCTCTCTAGAAACCGCGACCACTGCCATTCCGAACCTCTCTCACATCAAAACATACCACCCTATTCTCTCAAACTCACCACTTCTTCCCCTCCGCCGATATTTCTCCCCCAACCATCACCCCTGTCGAATCTTCAGATGATGACGATAATGGAACGGCATCATACATGGTCATGCCCCCTCAAGGCCAGATGGCGAAAAAAGATGACATACCATTCCTTACGATCAGAGTCCATCCATGCCACGACGCCGACTCAGATCTTGAGATGACCGACCCGCCCCGTACCTCTTCGAACCCCATTACCCCATACTCAGCGATCTTGTCACCAATCCCGCAGAGTTTGATTGTCCAATCTCTCAATATCAGTGGTGGCCGCACTGCAACACCCATTTATGGGCATTTCACTGCGAATATGAGCCTCAATACTATGAGAGAGGATTCCAATATTGCAAATGATACCTCTGCATTCATACCTTGCCCCGCTACCGTTTCCGCTAGAGCTGATGTCGTTATTCCTATTTCTTCTTCCTCTGCTAGTTCGTTACCAGCGTTGACTGATGGAGAGGACTGGTGGCGTCGTCGGAGACTTCCAAGCCCAATCAGCGAAGATGAAGTCTCTCCCACGACCACATTCCCCCCAATTAATCGGGACTTGAAATCCAATATCTCAACCACCACTGATGATACCTCAACATCTTCATTCCTCACTCTCCCCTGGGAACGGAAGCCCTCAGCCACGGCGGAACTAGAGCAACAGACTTGGGCACAGCACGACCCCTTAAATCACATCGCGGCACATGCTGCCGCTGCCGCTGGGAATAGTAAATTTCCCGAACGTAACCACCAACCCATGATCGCTCAAGATAACAGTTGGCAAATCGCAAGTAACCCAGCCATTCGTACTTGGACCCCCCAAAAATCTACAACAACGACAACCACCTTTCCGCAATGCAACGGCATTTTCCCTTTCTCAAATAACGATATATTCCCTCTCCAGAGAGACAAAGCCAGCCGCCCGCCAAAAGTAAGCATTGCGATGGGTTACCGTGCTGATTGCGATAAGTGCCAGAGACGTGTGCCGGGGCATTATAGCCATATCATTCGTGGGTGATTTGGAACTTTCCTTTTTCCTTTGGGGAAAGAGGAGGGCGGCCTGATTTGTCCCTTTCTTTTTTCTTTCTCTTTGCTTCTTGCTTTTCCTTTTCTCCATGTATTAGAGATTAAAAGCTTTGATGATAAATGACCCCCTCTGTTTTACTTTTGTTTTTTTTTTGGTTCTTTTCTATCATGATTTATGAAGTTGAGTATATTTGCTTGTCTGTTTCATTTCTTGTTTACAGCTCTCTATTCCCCCCATTTTGTAACAAGAGGTATCATAATTGTTTTTATATGCACATCAAAAAACCTGTGTTCCTGTTCCTGTGAGTGTCTATAACCTCTAGCTATACATGTATATAGTTCATGATGATTTTTTTTTGATTCATGCACGCATGTGATGTTTTTATTTGTGATTCAGCTGATTGTAACTGTTATTTTATGAGTGAGCATAGCAGTGGATAGGATATATAAACAGGTATATATATACCTAAATGTAATCTGCAAATGAAGGAAATTTCTGAATCATCATTGAAAGTATCAGTTGTAGTAACTAATTAATTAAGTTAAGATTAATAAAATTGATAAGAAAGCTGAGTTAAAAAAGATGAATGTTAGAGACATTTGATGATAAAAACACTGTATGAGAATGATATATAAGAAAATGCCAACAGAAATGCGTAAGGGAAAACAGATAATCAATAAAACAGGCAGTGCACATCAAAATCCAACAATAATGGACCATAATCAATGCTCCAGTCCTTGCCCTCCATAATTCCATAATAAACCCACTTCATAAATATCATCGTCATGATCGTTACCGTTTGTAATATCAAAGTCAAAAACCTTCATACACCACCTCGTCTTCACAATAGAATGGCTTGTAGTCCCCCCTCCCCCGTCTCAATCCCCTGAACCCACCTCCCTAAACAAAGTCAACATCCACCTCCATCGCCACCTCCACCACCATCACCACCGCTATACCCGCCGCCCCCTCCTCCACCTCCGCCGTCGTACCTCGACTTCTTCTTCTTCTTTTTGGCTAGCAGGTTGTATGTGATGGGGTCGCCTGTTTTCGGATCGTAACGGACAGGGCGGTAGGGCTCCGTGTTGTTATCTCTGTCCGAGGAGGAGAAGCACATTGTATATATATATATATATTTTCCCTTCTTTTCTTTGCCTGGTGGTGTTTTTTTGTTGATGTAGGTTTGTTGTTTTTAGCCGAGGGGCTGAGGGGGAGTATTCTTGTGTTTTGGTTTGAGGGGCTGTTAGGTCTGGTGTAAGACGGGCAAAAACAGGTTGAATGAAAAGTAAACTCTGAAGGTTGATATGTGGTTTTTGACATTGAATCACACAGAAGACGGATTTTGAAGACTTGTGCTAAGGAGACGAAGTAAACAACTCTGTAAGTCCTGGGGTGCATCCCATATATATATATAGATATGATATTTCAGCGACCAAGGGAGGTTGAGAGGGAAAATCCGCAAAACATCCCCTACTTGATTGATATATTTAGCATCGAGCTTCACAGCCCAAAAGAAAGAAAAGAGAAAGGAATTTTGCACTAACTACCTGTTAGTCCAGCTAGTTGTATTGTTTCTGCCTTGCTTTTCGTCTGTGTGACAAACATGACATGCATAGCCCCCTCTCAAGTTGAAAGATTTCTCACATCTTACTTCAATGAAGAAGAGTTTGGAGAAGTAGAATTTGCTTGTGAAGCAATATGAAAATGCTTATGATAGAAGAAATACGGATCTGCCATGGCCCTTGAGTGAATCGTATCCACCGGCTAGTCAGATGACAAGTAGGGGTACGCGACAAGCGTTGCGGCATCCCGGCCCTCCGGCCCTCGAGGCAGATCGACGACGCGATGGAGTCAGAAATATATTTTTAACATTGCAGCCTCATTCTTCTTCTTCCATGATGATAATTGATCCCTCCGAGGAGTCATTCTTTAAGCGGGGTATGCGCATAGAAGCCGCTTGCTGGATACAGCCTCGCTAAACACTTCGGCGGTTGCCTGGAAGACGTCGTCGTATCGAGACAGCCACAAAATAGAAAGGCAAACTCGGGAGGCAGACTCCGGGGAAAGTAATTCTCCTGAGAGGGGCAAACCGCTTGAGTGTGAAGTTTCAGCAATTCTTTTTTATTCATGGATATTGTTTGATATTGAAAGAACCTAGGAAGGTTGTTGAGGTTGAAGGGGTGAAAACCGACAAAAAGGTAACTAAATATAGATCAGGGGCGGCGTGAGACGCGCTCTCATTTCTGCATGCCAGCTTCGATCGGCCCATGTTATTATTTCATTTGCTCATGACATCTCCGTGTATCTATTTCGTTAACTTATCACTGGAAGGACAAACTAGAAATGTCTAGAGATTTGCATCCGCCTTTTGTGTCTTTTATTTCTTCCCCAGCCTCAAGATATCTCGGCCACATAGACACATATCGGGCGGGCTGGAAGGGAAACCGGGACGCTTGCTTATGGCTCCGAAGATGCGATGTACTGTGCACGACGAATATCCAATGATAGCAGTTGCCATAATGAGGATACATAAAACGTGATGCATACAATGGAGGTTTATCTTCTAGAAAAGAGGCACATTTTACCGGCAGAGAAGGTATGCCCTGAGGGCGATTGCCGAGATTTGAGCCGAAACTCTAATTCTCCACAACGATCCAGCTCACGTGGTTTTGCTATCACCAACATCTGAAGTTGATAATTTTCCCAACCAGATACCAACAAACGACAGCGAGGGATGGGATGGGTGAAGGATTGTAGTCATTGTGAGCGGGCCTTTGGATTGAGTGCGCTGATCCCTCTTAATGATGATTTCTTTGCTCCATCCATTAATGAATGAATGTTGGGTTGCATGAAACAAATCAGCCAGAGCAGCGGATGTTCTTGCTCTCGGTTGAGAGCTTAGTCGCCGTCGGCAGCCCGGCGGGGACCCGATCTACACAGCTGCAGGAGTTCAGCTGTTAGCAACGCCAAATGATTTCTAGCTTTCCTTCCTCTCACTGGGCTATACATTATTTCTTCCTCCCAGCATCCAATTTTGATCCCCTCCGTGAACTACCTTGTTTTCCGTTTAATCGCAAATTGGCTTGAACAGAGTCACAGCCATCATGTCAGGAAGGGCTCAGAAAGGCCTGCGGCAAATCCTCCAAAAATCCCCCTCCGATGTCGTCATCCTCTCCTCATTGCGAACAGCAGTCACCCGGGCCAAAAAAGGCGGGTTTAAAGATGCCTACCCCGAAGAACTGATTTCCCACATTCTTCGCGCCACACTCGCAGCAAACCCGAAGCTTGACCCCGCATTGATCGACGACGTAGCCATTGGAAGTGTTCTACAGGAGTTGGGTGGCACAAAGGCAGCTCGAATGGCTCAAATACACGCCGGCTTCCCTCACACCGTTCCTTTCCATACCGTCAGCAGGCAATGCAGCTCTGGATTGGCTGCTATCACTGCCATTGCACACTCGATTTCCGTGGGCGCGATATCAGTTGGAATTGGCGGGGGCATGGAATCTATGACGCGCAATTATGGTTCTCGGGGTCTTCCTACAGTTCTGTGGCCGGAGCTGCGCGACTCGCCGTCTAAGGATGCGAGAGATTGCATTATGCCCATGGGAATAACGTCCGAGAATGTTGCGGAGCGGTATGGAATATCGCGCAAGGACCAAGACTTATTTTCTGCGGAGTCTCATAAGAAAGCCGCAGCAGCGCAGGAGAAGGGACTATTCGGTACCGAAATTGTACCCGTTACGACTAAAATCTTCCCTGAAGGTCAGACGGATGGCCCGGCGACGGAAATCACAGTCACTAAAGATGACGGCGTCCGAGCGTCGATCTCTCTTGAGAAACTGGCTGCTCTTAAACCAGCGTTCTCAGCAACGGGATCAAGCACCGCTGGAAATAGTTCTCAGGTCAGCGATGGGGCCGCTGCCACGTTGCTTATGCGTCGCTCCACAGCAGCTGAACTTGGCCTCACGTCCAGCATCATCGGAAAATGGGTGTCCACGCAAGTAGCCGGCTGCGCTCCTGATGAGATGGGTATCGGTCCTTCTGTTGCTATCCCAAAAGTCCTCTCCCACACCGGTCTCTCGATTTCCGACATTGGAATCTGGGAAATCAATGAGGCTTTCGCTAGCCAGGCTGTGTACTGCATTCGGAAACTTGGCATCGATGAAAGTAAAGTTAATCCCAATGGCGGAGCAATTGCATTGGGGCACCCGCTGGGAGCAACGGGTGCGAGGCAGCTTGCGACTCTGCTTCCCGAGATGGAGAGGCATGGGGAGCAGGTTGGAGTAGTAAGTATGTGCATAGGAACCGGTATGGGGATGGCAAGTGTATTTGTCCGGGAATAGAGTTTTGGCTGGATTGTGTCATTTTCGGGTTATCCTTTTCATTTCAACCTTTTTCTTTGTATCCTGAGTTGCAGTCAATTTTCTTCACCTTGCGATACACCAGACTCCTACCCCGAGCAATCTGGATCTATTGCTTGCTGGCTCTTGAAATGCGGTTAGATAGTCGGGAGGGAGTGTGCGACGCTATCAAAGTTCTATAGTTGGCGTAATAAAGAACATTGGTTGAAGACGTATGAAAGGATATATATAGTTCTATAATCATATTTAAGCAATTTACTTCCTTTATTACCGGATTATCCCTCCAATATCTTTCTGTAGTTTCGGTTCTTCCGCAGTAGTGCTTTTAGGAGAGAATCACGTGATCCATGTCATTTTCAGCAAGCTCCGTTTTCTCTTGCGGAGAAAAATCGAAAAAACCTTCAACGACGAAGTCAACGAAAACGCCAACAATGTCACTACCAGCACGCCTGTTGGCTCCATTAGAGGGGGCGCCCTCTAGAATATCTAGTGCGTTATACGTCTGTTCGACCTGCAGACGCCAATGCCTGCCCCAGTCCTTTCGATCTATCAACCACCGATTCCAATTTCGCCAGTACACCCCATCAAACAGCAGCCAAAGTAACGGTAACGGCGACCTTCCTGTGACTGAAAAACTGCGGAGGAAGCTATGGGGAACCGACAATCCCCCGGGAGTCAAGGATCCGTACGGAAGTGAAAGCCAGCTAGACTATGTCGAACCAGAAGAACTGTCAAAGGCGGACCCTTACCTCGCATCTGAGTTGGGAGAGGATGAGCAGGGAGTGCGTATTGCCACTGCTGAAGAAAAAGAACAAGCGGAATATAAGAGTGCGGATACCTGGGATGGTTTAAGACAGGTTGGCGCGGAGCAATGGTGGGAGAATCCTCCTAAGGCCGAGGATTTTTTTGCACCGTACGTTTACTATACATGTCAATCCCTCTATGCTATCGTCGTGTTCAACAATGCACACGGAGCGATGCATTTTCCACTTGCTTCTGAAGATCCCCTTCGGTCGAATGGGAAAGCATGCCCCCAGTTGTATTCTAACTGCCTCTTACAGATTTATGAGCATCGAGAAAGTCACCTCCCGCACCAAATTCTACCAAATCCTCCACCAAACCATGGTCGAAATACTCATCTTGAAAACCATGAACAAGCCTCTCACAGACGGCTGCAATATCATGGGCTACGAAGATGAGATCCTCTCTATCATTAACCAGGCGGAGGTGACGCCAACTACCGATTTCGCTACTGCATCCCTGACTTTCCCTAGCGAGGAAGCGAAGAAAACTATATATGAATGGTTTTCACAACTTTATGAACCAGTAGAAGATAGCGCTGAAGCGGGAGCGGAAGAAGTCGACTTTGCTGCGGAATCCACCCAGGCGGACGAGACTCTGCCTGAGGAGGCCAGACAAGACGAAATGGATACTAATGACCCAAGACCCTACCGTCCTACGAATCTCGGGTTCCTCGGCATGCCTCTTTCAGACCCCGAGTTCAAATTTGCTGTAAGCTCGTCCATCTCCCGGCTGTTGTAAATAATACATATGACAATCACAGGGATTTATTCTCGTCCCCTCCTTTTTCGCCCCTCCTCATCTCCCCACCCAACATTAGCAGAACTGACACAAAAACAAAACAAAAATAGTATCTCAAACGCGCCAGCCAATTAGCCGGCTACCGCATCCCAGACCCAGAAGTGGCCAAAATCACCAAACCATCACGACTTATGAGCTTCCTCTCTGAAGTCTCGAAGCCGAAGCCGAAGAAGCTGGCAGAGCACCTCCTTAAGGATAAACGTCTTACCAGCCTGCCCAACGTCAAGATCATGGATAGGAGATACACGCCGATCGATAAGGAGAAGGAGATTGGGCGCTGGAAGATTATTGAGGAGGAGTTGACGAGGAGGGGTTTGCCGGTTACTGGTCGGGCGAGGGCTTGAGGGACGTGGTGATGAGAAAGAGAGCGGTGAAGATTGGCGGGTTTGGTTAATCCGTTGGCTATTAAGGGGAACCTGATCATAGATTGATTGGAGTGCGGTGCTGTGAAGAGTGGCGGGGAATTGTGTACCACTTTTCAGTTGGCGGGCGCATGTAGACTATTGCTTTGGATTTGTTCTATCTACGTTCGGAACTTCCTGCTTTTCCTTTCTGGTTATTTTTTTTGTCATGCTAATCTGTATAAATATATCTGTAGGTCTGGTTTAAAAACTTAGAAGTTGTCTATGAACTATGAAATGGGTGAAAGCGCTTGCGCACTTTGAGTATTTCTTACCACGCTCGCTATATTCTAGGGGAATAATTACAGCTTCACTCAAGAGTCCAAAAATTCAACTCAAAGATGGTTATTCAATATATTGAATTCTATCTGTCCAATCCTACAAAGAACATAACATGGACCACAGTATCGGCTCCGCACAAGTTTCCCACTGTTGCCTGCCCGTTGTTGAGTTTGTGATTCCTTTCCGTATACTGTTTATTCATGACACTCTAAGCCCACCGCAATTTTGTTGGACAAGCATTTCAAAAGTTCGCACGCCATTTACAAGCCACATTGCGGTCGTAATCGCATGGTGCTGCTAGCCGTACAAATTCATATGCGAATGCAGTGTCAGAAAGACGGGTAGTGCTGGTATGAGAGGGTTTCCACAGCTCAGGTTCCGCAAAATTCGGCTCCGCCCCCGGAAATTACAGATGTCGACTTTCCGAACCTCTGCAACTGCTAGAGAGACCATTTATAAAGTTTCTCTCTAATGTCACCGTCAAACCGTCACAAGAAGGTTTGTTTTGTCTCTCGAAGAGCCGACATCTAGACTTATATAGAGTGCTAATGGCTACTAGATGATATCACCAGTCACTTGTATTTTATGTAGCCCACGGGCTAAGACCCAGATTAACTTCGACGGGACAATCGTGGATCTTGCTACAAATTTATGAACGAAGGGCGATATGTTTTTCTTAAGCGTGGTGGGCCATCCAAAGCGCCGAAGCTTGGAATGTAGTGTGTGGCCCATGCAGTTTTCTGAGGCTCAAGCTCAAATACATCAGCACGGGCAGGAGTTGAGAAACCCGATTGGTGCTGCTGGTGCAGGTGGTAGTCTTCTGGAAAGTGTGGAGTGACCGGTTGAAGGTTTGAACGTGTTTCAGAACCTCATCTTTTCGCCCCTGCTGGTATTGAATAGCCTCTGGTCATGAAATCTGTGTCCTTTCCGCGCTCTCTCGTTGAGTCGGATGTGAAGAGGCTTCGTATGGTTTCGTTGTCGCCCATCATTTTTCGGCGTTTATTGCGTTCCCTCTCTTCCTCTAGTACTCGTGCTGTTAATCTCGCTGTTGCAGCGTTCTTAATTCCCGAAGGTACTGGTGTGGAGGTCCTGCTATCAGGCCTATTATTAGGTGCAGATGGAGGTTTGGCTGTATTTGTTGTGCCATCAACGCCAGGACGTGTGTCAAAATCGGTAGCTGTGGCACCCGACTCAGCGCTACTCCCGTTCTTCTTCCGTTTCTTTTTCGAGCCAGGGGCCTTCTTAAGTGAGTGTGTCAAACCCCGGCTATTTAAATCTTGCACACGAGATATCAACCGCTTCTTTTCAGCGTCCTGTGACGGGAGAATTGGAATGATGTTCTCGAGAAGGTAGGGCTCGTTACACTAAAAAAATCTCATAGGTTAATGACCGTCTAGGAGAACAAGAAAAAAAAAAAGGGATAACATATATACGAACCTGTAAGCAGTTGTCGGATTTCATTTCTCGGATCGCCTCTTCGGAGAACGCATGGCCGCAGGGAACAATGTATACAGCCTTCACATTTGGACCCAGCTCTTTACGAGTGATCGGGCAGACCTTGCGCTTTTTACCGTTTGCATCATCGTCGATCTCGAACTTTACCTCAACAATATCGCGGAGTCCCTTGACTCTTCCTTTCAATATCTCTTCGCAGTCGTCTTTCGAGCTGATATCTTCGGCGTCATCTGCTGGCATGAGGAACTTTAATATAGCGTCCTTGTTATAAAGATTTCCAGCGGAATCGGATACTATAGGCGCAAGTAGCTGTTTATGCGAGAGAGGACAAGTCGACCAGTAATGCTCTAAGTGTTCGCGTAGGGTTTCTTTAAGCTCAGCGGCTGTGGGGTTGCGAGCGGCAGACTTGACCAGTTCGCATCGCTTCGGAATACTATATGCGAGTAAGAATATGAAGCCTCTTTCTGGGCGCATGCAAACTTACCTCCCGCCATCATTACCCATGATTTCTAGCTTGGTTATGATTCTCCAGTAGCAATGAAATAGTTGGCGGTTGACGTTGGGAAGAGTTCGCGATTTCGGCGGCAAATTCAAGACGCCGGTTGGGTAGAGGGAGATCGGCTAATAGTTTTTAAGCTCCGAGAACTAATAGTTATTGATTAATAATGTTATTATATATGACTAAGCCGCCAAGCATGTATGTGATAGGCCAGAAGTGTGAAGAGCTCCAACTTGGTCTGATATCAACGACAGTGTTGGAACCGTGAGCGGCTTCACAGTAGACCCAATGCTGCCATCATGAAACACTCCGGCAATCTCTTCGTTGCTTTGGGCGTAACCATATGTTCTGCCATTGGTGTGGTGGGAAGTGATGCCTCCGCACGCCCTCGAGGAGTAGGTCCTGAGTGTAAGTGTATACAAGACTGTGCTTGAATTGCCTGCAGCTATATTTCACTTCTCTTCACAAACTATGGCACTCCACATTACAATTAGTTAGCTAACGTTTGATTAACTAAAAACACTAGTTGCCAAATACTACAAGGACACTTCCACATTCGCCTGCATTTCCAACCCCTCTGTTCAAATCCCCTTCTCCACAGTGAACGATGATTACTGCGACTGTCCTGATGGCAGTGACGAACCGGGCACCTCAGCATGCGCCTATATATCAAATTTCTCTCCATCTGGCCTTAGAGACGATGGGGCCAATCGTGCCCCAGCTCTCCCCGGTTTCTACTGCATAAATAAAGGCCACAGACCATCATTCATATCATTCCAGCGAGTCAATGATGGCGTTTGCGACTATGACGTCTGCTGCGACGGTAGCGATGAATGGGCCCGGGTTGGTGGTGTAAAATGCGAAAACAGGTGCAAGGAGATTGGAAAGGAATGGCGAAAGAATGAAGAAAAGAGACAAAAATCTCTGACTGCTGCAGTGAGGAAGAGGGGAGAGCTTGTTAAAGCTGCAGCTAGATTACGAAAGGAGGTAGAAGATCGCATCTCAGATCTTGAGGTGGAAATTAAAGCTTCAGAGATGAAGGTGCAGAACCTCAAAGACGCGCTCGAAGCAGTCCGGGCCAAGGAAAGGGGTAAAGTGGTGAAGGGGCAAAAGAAGGGCAAAGTTAACGTTCTTGCTGGACTGGCCAAGGAGAGGGTTGAAGAGTTGCGAGGAGCATTGGTGGAGGTTCTCCGTGAAAGGGATGAGAATTTGGCGCGAGTTAACCAACTTGAGGCTATCCTATCAAAATTCAAGGAAGAATACAATCCCAACTTTAACGATGAAGGAGTAAAGCGTGCTGTCCGCGCCTGGGAGGATTACGCTGCGCGTGACGACAAAGGTAGCCACGGTGACGAAACTCTTAATCGAGACTTGGATGAAATATGCAAGCCGGACAGTGAAAATTCAGGTATCAACTGGGATCATTGGGAAAATGAACAAGATGGGGAGTCTAAAATTAGTCTTCGTGAGTTTATTTTTATTTTCATCTACTTTTGAAGCATCCTGTTCTATTTAAAGCCACCGGATGATGCTAATACAAGTTCTCCAGTCTACAAAGTCGCCGCCTATTTTCCCGATTCATTGGTTAACTACTTGGAAGACAAAGCTCTCCAACTCCGGTCGATTTTGGTATCGAATGGCATCGTTGCCGATACCAGTAGCGACTCAGATGCCACAGAGCCCAGAGCCGTGACAGAAGCCCGGAATGCGGTTTCCGCTGAAGAATCATCCTTGAATAATATTCGCTCTCAGCTAGACGACCACAAATTAGACCTGGACAAGGATTATGGACGGGATTCCGTATTTCGCTCGATGAAAGGCTCATGCATATCTAAAGACTCGGGTGAATATACATATGAACTCTGTTGGCTGGAGAAAACCAAGCAGATACCCAAAAAAGGTGGATCCTACACGACTATGGGCACGTTTTCTGCGTTTACAACCGTGACTGTCGACGAGCAGAACGCAGCTGGCAAAGTCGTTCCTCAGGAAAAGATAGCTCTGGAATACACCAATGGACAAACATGCTGGAACGGCCCTGCGCGTTCAACAAAGATTGTTTTGGAGTGTGGAGAGCAGGATGAGATCTTGAAAGTCACGGAAGACGAAAAATGTGTGTACAGTATGTTTGTGACCACCCCAGCGGCCTGTGAAGGACCTTCCAGGAACGGAAATAACGTCCGTGATGGTCGCAAAGATGAGCTTTGAAGGATTGAGCGTACAGCAGAATGGTTTGATAGTGCTTGGTTAGTTACACTGGATTGTTACAAACTTTACAGGATTCCATTCTTCTCTTTTCTTCCTTTTCTTTGCTTCTCCTTTCTGTTTCTTGCCATGTTGAACACAATTTCAAACATAGAATATATCGTCTTATGATTACCCCTTTTCTCCATCATCTGTTTTTGGGTCATTTTATCCTGAATTTTTCCATTCCTCGCCTCAGATATATTGTACTCCCATTTGGGAATATTCCGCTACTTTTGACTTCCTGTGCGTGTTTTGCCTTTCTTCTCGGGCTACCTATGTGTTCAGTTTGATATACTGTACATCACAGTATTGCTATGGAAAAATGTACGACTTACAACAACACGCTAGGGGCAAAAACACTACCGATTCCACCATCCCACATGAAAATAAGGGGGAAAAAAAGCATCTTCCCACTCAAAGCCTCTTCCGTAACTAACTTACTCGAAATGTTCAATCTGATTGAGACCTCATCATGCCAATAGACCTTGTCAGCAGAATTCACCTATATTAGCGAACTTATCATTTAATATGCAGGACCAACGACAAGGATAAAGTGAGAAAACGAAGCGAACAATGTATGGAATCAACTGATCAACCGTCCTGGCGTCTCGCTTTTCAACATTCTGTTTCTCTTTGCAGAATCCTGCCTCGGACAAGGGTCTGTCTCTCGCCAAGTACCGTATATGCTAATGTCGAAGTTAAAACCTTTTGGTATATTTTTTGTCTCCCATTCTGATTTTTCTCTCTATTCTTTTACGTGTTTGAAGCCTTTTTCTTTTTCTTTCTTTTGTCCCCCTTATCACCCACCTTCCTGACGCCCTATCCGCCCAAATGCGGTCTCCTCAGACCCAAAACATGATCCTTGAACTTTCTACAGCTGTGAAACTGTTGGGGTTTAGCAGAAGGAAAAGAAGTGATTTTTTCCTCGCACTTGCGGATTGAAAATGTCATGGTTTTGATACTCCCAAGGAAGGGATAGGTGGCGGGTACTCTCATCCCCATGCATGCCTTGCTCGTATTTACATGCCTTGTCAGTCTAACGCCCGTTGTGTGGCCCTGATTCTATTCTAAACTCGATCTTTTGCGCTCATGTTACCCCACACTCCCCCCCTCCGGGCCCTACCCCTGCCCTCCTACCTACTCCAATCCCAACCCAAGCACGTCGCTATATCGACGATTCAAGGCTCAACAATAACACCAATAAAGTAGAGTTACTGGCATTCACTAGATAACGTAATAATTTGACTCAGAACGAGGACGAGGGTGCGCATCATATACACCACTATCGTAGCGACGTCGGGGCTAGGGTATATTTTGTTTTCTTTATATTGCCCCTCCCCCCACGCTCCAACCCACTAGTAGGTCCTAGGCCTTTGGTCTTAAGCAGGGGGAGATTAGTGATAACAGAAATCACCACTGCTTAGATTTGGAAGTCCCCGGTTATTAGATGGTTAGATTCGACTTTGAGCAAGGTTCGGTGTGGATATTATTGGTTCCTATTCTTTGGTGATGGTTGGGGGTAGCTGAAGAAGAGCAAAAGAGTGGTGCTCCCACGAAACTCTCGTGCATGACCCGCTGTATCATGAGCTCTGACAAGATCTACATATCTATTTATCCAGCGCCGGAAGGGCAGGGAATGTGACGTGGAAAATAACCGAGATGCTCAAAGAAGGTTGCGTGCTTGAGCCGACCTTTCAGCCCTTGTTGTATTCTAATTTAGGCTGATTTGCGGGGGAAGAAAAGTACCCCGATAATGTATAATGGATGAAGATTAAAGGTTGTTTCAGAGTATGTAACTAATAGTTGAGATCTCATTGCTTTAATGAAAGTGTATCTCTGCAACTTCGCTACGTCTCAGTACCAACACAGCCCAGACACCAACATGCCCACTTCTTTGCTCCTCAGAACTTCCCTGGCCCATTTCGGAAAGGACTGGGTAAGCTCAAATAACATAAAAAATAACAACAATAACATACGTCGAATTGAAGGAACAAAGGAAAGCAAGAAATGCTAATTTCCAAGAGCTAGAGGTATTTCTTCCGTAGTTTGAACATATTTTCCTCCTCTAATTCGCTCGGTCACGAATCCAAGTGGAGTGGACGCAGGTGGAAACGTTTAGGATAGAGCGCCCTTCCCGTCCTACGGTAGTGGTGGACTGAATGAACGTATCGAGTAGGGAGAGTTCGGATACGTTAAGGTACCTTTTCAGCGGCAGGGAATGGCGGTGTATAAGGGAAGAGAAAGGCGGAAGAGAGAGGCTAGCTCATCGGGAGCTGCTTAGTGCTGTTAAAATGGTCAGATGAGTGTACAAAAGAGTAAACCCTTGTTTTTATATCAACTCACAGAGCAGCTGGTGCAGCTGCAGGAGTTGCAGTCGCCGGCACAGCAGTTGCAGTTGCAGGGAGACATTTTTGGATGGGTAGATGGGTGATGAATTTGTTTTGAAATTCGGTAAGATTTTTGGATTGCCTTTAAATGTATTATTGTCAACGAAGCTAGTCTTGAGAATAGTGAAGGGAAAGATTTCTAGAGGAAGAGGGGGAAACGAACCGCTTTTTTATATTCCAGGTGCCCTTCCCTTTCCATATGTTTCGCCCACCTGATTGCACGTGCGCGGACCCAACCGGACGCTAGCGGGGCGGAGAAGAGGTGTGATGATGCAGACTATGGTAAACAACCCTTCTTCAGGCTGCTTGGGTTATAATTTATAAATCACGATGAGAGAAAGACTGTTGGGAATGGTAAGTGTGGGGAGAGATTTGCTGGCCCCTGTTCCTTGTCTCACCATTGCCTCACCGTTGCCTGCGCTCATTGGAAATGATATCGAATTAAAATGCCTCCAAGGGGAGGGAATCAAAAAGCAAAAAGTTGATGTGTGGAGTTTCGGCCTTCCAACTTCCACAATATCACATTTCTATTTCCCGGTACCGCTGAGATCATGAGCCGCCCACTTTGAACAGTGCCGAATGCAATTCTAGTGCTTCCACGCCACTAGGTTCCAACTCCCTCTCTGAGAGTCTGTGCAGCGCCCACACCTTCGTTTTTAGATCCTAGGGAATCAAAAGGATGAATCAGAAATCAAGATATTTAATTTTACCTGGCAGGCCCCTGTAGGTTAGCGCTCCATGCTGGATTCTGACGATTCTCCATGCTAGTAGGCATATTTCTAGCATCCCGTGATGGGAAATAGCATCGCAATTCCTATCGCATGTCAACCAGGCTAAGCGAGCAAAAAACAGCGCATTTTCCGCAAACAGCCCACGGAGTGGGACTTGTGATCCACGTTTAGGCCTCCATCTCCCAAATGCTTATTGGGCTGCCAGGAGGTTGAGATTGGCATCGGAATACCATTATCTCATAGCCCAATGAGAGTACACCGAAGAGGAGAACCAGAAGCGTTGGTTGGGATGTCACATCCGTGGCGGGACAGGGTCTGCTTTGACAAAACTAGGTGCTTCTCCTTTTATCCGGGCCATTTACGATTGTGTGTGGCATAACCGGGCTGGTAGCTTGGTGAGGTGATGTTGTTTGATGCTGAATGATGTCAGTCCAGCCCGGGCAAGTTTACCAAGAGTGTTCGCATATGCTTATATAAGCAGACTTCCTCGATCAACCCCCCCTTCGTGACGTGTATACAGAAAACTTGACCTCGCTAAGTGCGCCACTTGACCTTGTTACATAATCATGACCCTGACCTCGCACAATACAGTAATAATCAGATGGTAATTGACTTTCAACCTTTCAATTCACTCATTCATTCAGCTCATCAACTAATCAAAGCATGTATAGCTGATTCATAATCAATTAAATAAACAGATAAATTCATATAGAATATAAAGAGATATTTTACAGAATTTTAAAATATATCAAGATAAAAATATTTAATAATTAATTTTAAATTGATTTTAAATTGATTCTGAATTGATTCTGAATTAATTATAGTAATAAAAATAGATTTAATCTATATATTTAAGTAATTAATAATTGATTGAAAATCAGTTGATAATCAATTCAGTATTATTATTAAATTCAAGAATAATTTCAGTATTAAATTGATTTTGAATTAATTTTAAATTGATTTTAAATTGATTCTGAATTGATTATAGTAATAAAAATAGATTTAATCTATATATTTAAGTAATTAATAATTGATTGAAAATCAGTTGATAATCAATTCAGTATTATTATTAAATTCAAGAATAATTTCAGTATTAAATTGATTTTGAATTAATTTTAAATTGATTTTAAATTGATTCTGAATTGATTATAGTAATAAAAATAGATTTAATCTATATATTTAAGTAATTAATAATTGATTGAAAATCAGTTGATAATCAATTCAGTATTATTATTAAATTCAAGAATAATTTCAGTATTAAATTGATTTTGAATTAATTTTAAATTGATTTTAAATTGATTCTGAATTGATTATAGTAATAAAAATAGATTTAATCTATATATTTAAGTAATTAATAATTGATTGAAAATCAGTTGATAATCAATTCAGTATTATTATTAAATTCAAGAATAATTTCAGTATTAAATTAATTTTGAATTTGTGATTCAAAAGAATGTATAACTGTTGAATAATAACGCGACTGCTTCTGAACTACTAGTGTACACAGCTGCTTCTGAGCTACTAGCATACATGTACAAGTGTAAAGAGGCCATAGCGGCTGCTAATTAAATTAGCATACAATATTACAATATATAAGAAGCCAGCATACATCTGTAATTATACACTGACTTAAGCAATCTTTGAATCACATCTGATAGCATGTCTAAAAATCAGTGAGAAGTACAGACTTCTTCAGAGTATGATAATTTCATCTACAAAGTAATTCATAGTTATTATATCAGTGTGGTTCTAGAACATCTCAAAAGATAGTATATAAAGAGTGATGAGTGAAAAAGCATCTGATTAATACTGCTTTACTTGTTAAGGAAAAACTTCATACTTAGACAAATACCATGTATGCAAACAGATGAGATGTGAGAAAGAGAATGAGAGTAGTGAATCAGATTCAAAGAAGTCTGCTCTCTACTTAAAAGAAGAATAAAAAGAAGAGAGTGATTATCACTGAAGTTATATAATAATAACAGAAATTATATAATAATATAGTGATATAATGATATAGTAATAGAATAATATACTGATATAATAATACAGTGATATAATAATAGACATTATATAATTAATAAGAAATCACTGAAATGAATATCTTCTCTAGCTAATACAAACAATACTCTTCTCTGCTATCTGAACTGAAAGATATGCAGAATCTCTCAGAGAGTTTACTCAAAGCAGTAAGAAAAGCAGCTGAAACTGTCAAACTAGAATTGAAGCTCTGTATATGTACAAGAATTCTAAACAAGATCAAGACCTTGTATATACAGTGACAGACTGAGATAGAAGTTAAATAATAATTAGTATTTGCTACAGATCAAGTATTCACTATAAAGAGCTTTGTCAATACAATCACTATCATTAATAAGAATAGAGAAAACCAGATCTTAGATCTGCAGTAGAAGATTAAATATTTACATAGATAGATAACTACACTGAATCTGAAGATCTTATCACAATTGTTCACAATCTCTTTAGAAGTATATATATTATCAGAGATTACTATATAGAATAAGAATCTGAGTATAAGATATATCAAGCTGAGAGATCTGTCAGAGCTATTAAGCTTTAATAGCAACTGAAAAAATGATGCTGCAATCAGCTGACTAAGTCAGATATGATTATATTATCAGATTAAATATGAACTCACAGATAGATAGTTAACAGAATTTTAACAAGTCTTAAGATCTGCTGCATTTCTATATGAAAAAGTGAAGTTATTATAAATAACTGATGAAAAAATGAATCTCACAGACTCAGAGTAATATTCATTCTTATAAATATGAAATGAGTTTTTCAAATGAATCTTGCATAACTTTGAGAAAGTGAATGTATAAGATAAGCATTACAAATACTTCACTGAGTGTAGATAAGTAAGTAATCTTATATTATACTTCACACACTTCAGTTTACACTATCTTGCATTGAATGAAGAGCTTTTAACATCTTTCTATTTACAGATTTTTATTCATGATCTTACACCTGAGTTGAGAGCAGAATGAAAATGCTTAACCTTGTAATCAGATATAATGAAAGAAGTATACAACATTCTCATTATACAGAAATAAGTAAGTTAATTATAACAGAAAATACTGCAATCAAGTATATCTCAGCAGAGAACAGATAATCAGACTTCTATAACATAAGTCATATATCTGAATGCAATGAATCTAGATCTGAATGTCATCACTAAAGCATTAAATTTCCTGAAAAAGAGATTCTCTGAGTGAAAATCTTGATATTATAAGCATCAAGCTTGCTTCAACTGCAGATGTCAAAATCATGATATAAAAGATTACACTCAGTGTGTACAGTTAAGAGAAGTAAGAGAGTTAAAAAACTAGCAGAATTAATGAGCTCAGAGACACTCACTGATATTCTATGAAAAGTCTTCAAAGTGAAAGAGATATCTGTGTTAAATAACTCTCTGAATTCTGTAAATGCAAAGAAGAAGCAGGCTTCTGAATGAGATGCAGATAAGAATGATAAAGTGAACACTTATCTCAATACTTTAAAGTCTGAAATGTTAATATATAGAGAGCACTTGAATAAGAATCAAGAGATGACTGTAAAAGTGTTAGCAGATACAGAAGCTTCTACACAATATATTGATAATTATATAATCTGAAGATTGAAAGAGATCTGCTGAGTGAAGAATCTCTGATGCATAAGATTATC